ACCACATTGCAAAGCAACCCCATAAAAATTATAGATTATTAATATATAATTTCTATATTTGTATATTAAAAAATTATAGAAATTATATATTAATAATCTATATGTTAAGACAAATCAAACAAGATCACACATGACTGTATTTAGGCTTACACATTGAGAGAATTTGATGAGTCAAAGTGCTTAAATGAACAGTTCCAAAAGTCACTTTCATCACCTGAATTCTTCACCTGAATTTTTTCTGTCGAACTCAAAACGATGTCATTTTGGCTCAAGCAAACTTAATCATATGATGCCGTTTTGAATTGTTTAAGAATGTGGAATGTGTTCTGATATTCCTGATCTAACTCTTCAAAATTGGCATTTTGGTGAAGACAACAAGGGTTAACTTCCTACTTTGAAGATACGAAAATTGAAAACACTCTCTCAATACAACTTATTCCATTGATATCGAACTTCATAGCTCCTGGATTCAGCACGTGTCTCTATCGTCTGAATATTTTCTATAGATTATTAATATATAATTTCTATAATTTTTTAATATACAAATTACAAGATAAAATGGATTAAAGAAGTGTATTGAATATATAATTTCTATAGATTATTAATATATAATTTCTATAATTTTTTAATATACAAATTACAAGATAAAATGGATTAAAGAAGTGTATTGGATGGTGTGTAAAAATGAAAGTGGACAAATACTCTGGGACGGAGGTAGTATCAAGTATGGAGGGATGGCCAAGCCCAATGAAAGTGGACTCGAGGATCATCCCACATTAGGGTTATATCCTTTCTACTTTGGATGGCTCCCCCTTAATGCCCTTTTCTGGTATCTTATCGAGGAAGAAATTCCCTACCATTTTTGTCAACAAAGTTCTTCACTAGTTCTGTTGCTTTCATTAATTTTCACGATTGTTGTCATATAAATAATTTACTCATTCTTATGAATTATCATTTCATTTATATGGTCGTGTGTTGTGGGGATTTTTTTCTTGGATTTAGTCATCAAGACATTCATAGCGTAGTGGCCAAAAGAGGGATTTGGGGCTTGTTCTCTTTGCCTGAATTTGATATGAGTTTTATTACGGTTTGGTCTGATCGGGATCTTTTTTTATCTAGACATTTAGTCTGATCTGATTCTAGTTAATGTTAAAGATGTTTTTAATCTGGTCAGATCGGATTTGACTCTAATAAGAATAAGTAATACTACTAAGTAAGTAATAAGAGTAAGTTGAGGAGAACGTTAGCCATTAGTATATTTGATTGAGAGTTTCTTACTTGCCTTTATATTGTGTTAAATGAATTGAAAAGATTACAATTATTGTAATGTCTTTGGGCAGTGTCTTTGGCTTGTTCTCTTTGCCTGAATGATTGAGGGTTTCATTCACTTTTATTATTTATTTTTCTTCACACAAGTCTGCTAAAGGACATGTTAAGAATGCAAATGGGAATGAAGCATCGCTGGGAAAGGAGTCTGAATTGAAAGGTAGTCTACAACAAAAATTGTGAAAGCTCTTTGTTAATAGATTACATTTCGTTGAAAGATTGGTCGGAATATAAGTGTGTATACTTGATCACTTGTCAATGGCAGATTTTGATTCTACACCTGAAGCTATGCAGGATGGGCCTCCTCAGTATGAATCAGATAGATTTTCCGACATCGATGACGCAGAGGTGTGTAAAGTTTTTGTCGCCTTTATTCTATTGGTATTATATGAGAGTGATTGGATCTCTCTTCAAATAGAGTCTTCTTTGGTGCACCTTAGGTGCATATCAATTTTGTGGACCTTCTCACATTAAAAATTCTTTTTTTTATTTAAAAAACAAATGCTAATTTAAGTAATAGAGAAAGGCTTATTTTGCTGAGGTCCACCATATAATTTGCCCTTCAAATAATCCATTAATGGATTATTCAAAGATAGATCCCATCAGAGATTATTATAGTTTTGGTTTTGGCTAAATTTCAAATAAGAATCTCTATAGTGGATCATTTTGATTTTGGAATTTAGATAATTTTTTTATATAGTCCACTCTTGAGTTGTTTTTGGGGCATCAAAAATTTAAAGATCAATAATAATAAGGAAAAATTCACTTGAATACTCTGGCGTTGTTCCCTGGAATCTAAAGGATCCATACTGAATAGGACCAAGACTGAATACATGGAATGCCATTTTAGTGGTCGGGAGATAGAACCACGGGTGGAAGTTAGGGAGTTGCCGAGTTGGATGGGGATGATGCACATCGTGTTGGAGCAACTTGGGCTAAGTTATACGGAGTACTGCATAATATTTAAGTGATAAATTTTAGTATTAAATCTAATTAGCTACATGATATCCAATTTCCAGGCATTATTGTCTCAGAAATTATATCCCTTTCATTTTTACTTTCCATGTTGCTTTTTCTATCATTAGAAGTTATTTTATAAATTTGGCATGTAAATATGTTAATCTTTCTTACTCTTTATTAACAGTTTTAAAGCTTCTTGGCATTAGACTGTGCATACATTTCTCTTCTTTGCATACAACAACAACAACAACAACAACAACCCAGTTAAATCCCACAAGAGTAGGGTATGGGGAGGGGTGTGTGTACGCAGACCTTACCCCTACTCGAAAGTAGAGAGGCTGTTTCCAAAGACCTTCTCTTCTTTGCATGTATTTATAAATTTCTGCAGTTTGGTTTATTACAATTTTTAACACCCGTGAGCAACATTCCATGCCGGACAGGTTGACACATATTTACATAATGAAGAGGAGAAGCGGCTGAAAAAGATTATTTGGGAGAAAATGAATAAAGAGTATCTTGAGGTGATTTCAAATATCATACTTTTTACATCATTTATGTCAAGGGGAAATGGCTGTTGGCACCACATGGGAATAAGAGACTAGATAAAGATTTTTTGTGCTTTCCAAAATATAAATCCAAAATAAGAAAACCTCTATTTCAAAATATAAAACAGTTTTCCTAAGATAGAAGTAGACTCAAATAATCACTGATGGTGACCTACCACTGCCACCATCAGTGACCCTCACCCCTCCCACCTCCACCCATTGTGACATGTGCCAACACTAGGACAATCTCTATCACACTGCCATTGATGACCTCTGGCACATTCTTATAAGCAATGGATCTGTCATTATGAAATTGAAAGTTCTCTTATTATTTACAGGAACAAGAAGCTAAAGAAGCCGCTGCATTAGCTGAAAAAAAGGCTTTTGAGTCTAAATTCACTGATCCTGAGGAGATGGAAGCTGCACGAAAGCTTGCTGCAGCAGCTGCAGCTGCTGTGTCTAAGTCTAAAAAGGTTTTCATTTAAAGTATAATGTTGAGACCATTATGAGTTATGGGGTTGCTTTGCAATGTGGTTTTGCTTTGATCACTAAGGGGGTTATGATAAAGTGTACTTATGATTTAACAACGGTTTAAAAAAACACATGATGCATTAACTCAAAACACTTATTTTGTATGCCTGGAGCCTTTATGTACAATTTCCTTTGTCCCTTAATTTAGTTCATTGTTTGACTTCACGGAGTTTAAGAAAAGTGTAAATTGAGAATATAGAAGAAAGATTTTTTTGCCACATATTCCCTTTCATAAAAGGAATATGGAAAAGTGTGAAGTTAATTGTGGGATGGAGGGAATATATTGTTCAAACTGCTGTTTGTTGATCACTTTCCTCAGAACTATATATTACCAAGCTATTTCCTTTAAAAAGAAATATTACCCAGCTCTTCAGTGATTTTGTAGAACTTCGTAGTTGGATATAGTTATGCGTATCACATTTTGCATGAGTTGAGGTTAATACACCTCTAATTTGTAACTCTCATTTATGTGATGCTGTTTTCTTGTTGACTTGCTGTACAAAGGGGGGTTTCCATACTGGGAAAAGCATATATACACTATACAGTGTTGGTGCTCTCACTGCTCTGCAATCAACAGCATTAGGGAGATTTCTTAAACCTCTTTGCTCTGACCTATTTGCAGGAAAAGCAACAGCAAAGAGCTGCAGAATTGAAGAAATCTGGTCCTGCAAAAACTGCCGCAGAAGCCACACAGAAAATGCTGAGTAGAAAGGTACTAAATAACTGATACTCGGTTTCGTTAATGACAGCACTAAAGGCTGTTGATAAGGTGCACTTATTGCACTATTATTTTCTCTTTTCTGCCTTAAAGGTCCATTTATTTGCAATAAATGCACCTTTTTGCCAAAAAAAGAGAAGGCAAATGCGCAATGATATGAATTTTTTGCAAAAAAGATGGAATAACAGTTTAATAAATGCACCTTATCAACAACAAAACTGTCTGTGTCTACATTTGGCTGTGTTCAAATAAAAACAGTGTTTCACGCCAAAAAAAAGAGAATCAACGTGGTACATTGATTTTCAAACATAAGGACTACAAGCAACCGAGAATTTAGAACAATCTACATAAGACGTGTATATGCAATGTTATAAGCATACCGACTATTCATGCCACCGTGAAGACTGCAACACTCACAACGCATGAGAATGGAGCACATGTGAACCATTCAGGTTCTTTCGTAAAGAGATGTTTAACTTGTGTGAGAATGGTATGTGTGTGTAGTGAAAGTTTCAAGTTTAATTGTTGAAACTAATCTTCCCGTTTCAAAACAGCCACCTTAACTTTTCATCTATGAACAATCTTTTCCAGATATGGTACTCTTTTTAAATGAACAAGTGCACTCTATGAAATATCAACCATAAATCATGATTTCACCAGCACATTTGTGCATTAATGAATGACCTGGTCCTTCCATTTTTTTTTTCAAATTTGCAAAAATTAGTTTTTTTTTGCATAATACTTTAGGATTGTGTGATGACTATGATGATCTTCGGCTTGTGTATCAATTTCGTTGCCCTCTGATATTCGTTCTCATTCTATTATTTAATGTTCCTTAATGCAGAGGAGCTCTATGGTGAACTTGGATGTATTGGACACACTTTTCGATGAACCTGTATGTATTCCTTGCCTTTATAAAGCTTCAGGCAGCTCTCTTGCCCAATTCATACCACTTATTTTGCTTTCAATTTCCATTTTTGTTGGGTAGCGACTTGAGTGATAGTCATAATATTCAGATCTTTTGTGCTTGATGTGTTCACTTCTGTGTTGAAGTTTCATAAGCTATGTAACAATAATATAATAAAAAAATATTTCAAAATGACAGCCAATGTGAAAAAACAACAAAAACAGCAAACCGAGCGACCATACCCCTAACAAAGGAAAAACTTTAACAAACCAAAAAGCAAAAGCAAAGGTAAAACAGATACGAGGGCAGAAATAATTGACAATCAAACAAAGGGAATAAAGTGTTACCCTTACAAACAAATCTACCAAAAGTACCCAAAGACATGGGTTTGGACGGAGCCTTTTTGGGAGTTAATAGAGCGTTACCCTTTACAAACAAATCTCTACCAAAACGTTTGACCTAAGTCTTCATTTTTTCGGTCTTGATATCTTTATCATTTGCTTGTCTTTTCTTGAATATGCCTTGAATGGATTTTCATATATTTTCGCTTTGCCGTGATACCATAGGCATTATTCACCAGCGATTTCATCGATTGATCAATCACACATTGGCAAATAACACACATGACCTTATCTTTGCAGCCTCTTCCTGACAATCTCAAGAAAAGCCGGAATGATGGACTGGACGAGGATGTTGACCTTACAGAAGATGGAGACGACTTTATAACAGAGGAGACCGGAGAAGAATGGATGGCCGGTGGAGGGGAATATGGCAATGAGGAAAACTATGCCGAGTACGACCAAACAACCTATGATTACGATGATGAAAACCAATATGATGATGAATATGGCAATGACTATTGAACTGGTGGAGGGGGAATATGGCAACGAGGAAAAATATGCAGAATACGAAACAACCTATGGTTTTGATGATGAACAACACAATATGGTGAATGTTGCGAGGGCTATTCGATTGTCTGTACTTGTTCATTTTTGCTCATTTTATACAATATGTAGTAGTTCAGTAATTTGTATACATGTCCATTTGTGGTGTTTGAGATATATTTATTGTTTATATAATCTAGTAATTGTACTGTTCTTTCACCTTTTTTCTCGTTCCATTTCAGATTTCTTGTCATTAAGACAGTTTTGGCAGTTACTAGGCACAAATGTGTCCACTGTCAAGAGTGTACCAATGGGTGCTACTGTGTGTGGCCATTTGGTCTTCGATTATTATTATTCTTTTTGTTACATTGGGTTTCTTGACATGCGACGTAGTTTGTGTATTATTGCACGCAAGGAATTACGGAGAATCACGTAATGATTGGTCAGCTTTTGATCGACTTTGGTGGTTGGGTTATTACTGAATATCAGGTTCTCAAACGTCTTCGGTTTTTGATAGATTAGCCTTAGGTTCCTGGTTGGCTTTAAGCTTCTACCTTACCACTTGAAGTGTGAGACGTGATATTATGGACTGAAACCATTGCAAGGTATGGGACTTGTCTCACATTGGTTTTATGGGCAATTGATGTGGGGTTTACAGGCCAAATGAATTTCCTCACCTATAAGACTAGTCTTTTGGGTTGAGTTCTTCCGTTTGGTCTGTAACATGGGATTTGATCAAATAGGTTTGTATAAAAGGGCTGGAGGTTCATTGAGTCGTTCATCTCATCCTCACTGTAATTTAAACTCAAAATCTTCTACACAAGAAGAATTCTCAAGTGTGGTTTTAAACTCAAAGCCTTACACTCGTTTTACAAAGAATTGCATGGTTTGTCTGAATCTTTTTTTTTTTTGCATGTTCGGGTGTCTTAGTTGAGTGGTTTCTTCAGTGCTTGTGTTAAATTTCAATCAATTACTCTTTTGTGAAATGCTTGTTGTTGGTGATTTTAGTATGATCAGTTACTCCCTATGTTCAGGAATGAACTTTCATTCTATTTTTTTTATTCCAAAAATAATATTCCCATTCTACCTATTATTCCAAAAATACCCTTCTTCCATTCTTTCCTTCTCCCCTTTCTCTTTCTCTTCCGTTTTTCAATCCTAGCAATTCATTTCTGATCTACCATTTTTTTCTTTCTCGGATACCCTCTTCTTCTTATTCGATCCCCTCTTCCTCTTCTTCTTTTCTTTTTCTTCTCTCTTGTCTAAATCTCTTCCGTAGATCTGCATCTACTCTTCTTCTTTCTCCTACTATCCCCTCTTCTTCTTCTTCTTCTTCTTCTTCTCTCCTTTGTCAAAATTTCCTCCGTCAGATCTGTGCTTCTTCTTTCTCTTTCTTTGATCCCCTAGCCTCTTCTTCTTCTTCTTCTTCTCCTTCTCTCCCTTGCTACTTCCAATTAACGGTGACCAGTGCTAGCAATGACTGTGGGCCGGCGGTGATGGGGAGGCTGATGGTGGCGGCAGGGCTGGGGCAAAGATGATCAAAGAAAGCGGCGGCGGCGGTGAGAACTGGCGAGGATGATTGGAGAAAGGTGCGTTAACAAAGGGGCTGGCGGACGACAATGGTGAAGATGGTCGATGATAATATGTTTGTCCACAAGGTAGTTATATAAATCCACACGTACAACAATGAAAACAACTTTATTTTTGGGGATGAAGGAAGTAGATGTTAGTTGTTTGCATTTACTAGTGACGAATTCGTCTCAGTGTATTTGTCTAATTTGACTTTTTCGAGTCAAAATTGGACAAATTTTGAGCTTCAATTATTCTCAATTTATATTTATATTAATATAATCAATTAAATTTTTTTAAAGTTTTCATCAACATAAATCTACTCAAATCAATATATTTCAAGTTTTGTTTTAATTAAAGCTCAAAATTCATCTTGTTTGATTCGAAAACGTCAAACTAGACAAATATACTTGAATGGAAATGGAGGTAGTATATACCTAACGAAAACAACATTACTTATTCTTCAACTCGTTCTTATTACTTTTTCTTATTGGAATAAAATCAGATGAAAAATAGCTTTAAGTATTATTCCTTTCAAATCAGGTCAAACCAGATCAAATCAGAACTTATTTTAATTAGATACAGATCACGTGTGGAGAACATGGCCGCAGTGGAATAAGCCCAACTTCTTCACCTGAATTTTTTCTGTCGAACTCAAAACGATGTCATTTTGGCTCAAGCAAACTTAATCATATGATGCCGTTTTGAATTGTTTAAGAATGTGGAATGTGTTCTGATATTCCTGATCTAACTCTTCAAAATTGGCATTTTGGTGAAGACAACAAGGGTTAACTTCCAACTTTGAAGATACGAAAATTGAAAACACTCTCTCAATACAACTTATTCCATTGATATCGAACTTCATAGCTCCTGGATTCAGCACGTGTCTCTATCGTCTGAATATTTTCTTCATACAGCAACCCCAGTAGCAGCAGCAAGAAGGAAGAAGAAGGCCTTACGCCGTTCAAGCTAGACTCCCCATCTGTTCTTCACAAACATGAACCTCTTTCTAATACGGACCAAAGAAAAACAAACAAGTATTTTTGGGACAGAGGGAGCCTGTTGGCCAATTATAATTGATGTGAATATAGATAGACAAATGCTTTGTTTTTCATTTTTTATTTGTCCAGACGAATTCCATTTACAATAAAAAAAAAATCTAGGGGTAGGGAGCCCTACCCCTAGTTTGTTGTTGCAAACAAAATATTGGAAGCATAAGACTTGATCTGATTTGATCGTGGTGGTTTACCATGGTTGCAGCTGGAGCTACATACGAGCATCGAAAGATTCGATCAACTACTGTATCCTCATAGTGCAGAAGCTTGTCTTATCCTTCGCCACCTCCCAAGCTTTTCCCTTCCCTAAAGTAAAACAAAGGCATAATAATTTTTGGAGACAAGAGTGATGTGATCTAGAGCTATAGAAGTGCAGAAAGAGAGCCACCAGATTGGAGTAGAGAAAAATGAGATGCTAAAAAAGCAACTGAAACTATAGCATAAACATAAATTAATGCATCGTATCAACTCAACAAGGGAGTTTGACTTCATTACATACCTTACGAGGTCCGACCGCAAGCTCATTATCCACAATGGATGCTGCCAGGAAACCAACTGGGTGCAATACCTCTTCATATCTGTGAGAAAGAAACATGCTGGTCAGCAATGAAGAGTTCAAACCTCATCGACTACGAAGACCAACAAAAATGTTAGATAAGTACTAGCCAATGCTGATTTTTCCATTCTTACATGATTTTCAATAACTCTTCATTTCAGATGAAGAAAAAAAGGGTGATCTACACCTCGACATGTAACACGTTGGGTCCTTGTATATGGGATTAGGGGTGGGCAACAGGCCGGCCTCATTAGGTGGGCCCGTTAGTGAGGTGGACTGGTGGGGCCATCCCAATGTGTAATTGAACAGATCAGGGAGTTAGTGGGTCGAGTTAAAAAAAATTAGGCCTGTTTAAAAAATTTAGCATACTCTCATGAAAATTTGGAAACTATTGGCATCGCAATGAATACATAATAATTTAATAATTAATATAAGCAATAAGTTTGATCAAGAATAGAAAGTGCATTGACATAAGTATGAAATAAATAAATAAAAGAAACATGGTTGTTAAATGGGTCTCCACCTCTGAGGTAGGGTATGTGTAAACCTCTAAGGCAAAGTCCTGCGTACGTCCTACGCTCCCCAGACCCCCTTGTGAAGTGGGACTAAACTGGATTTCTTATATTGTGGTTGTTAAATGGACCACGACCCCCAAGTTCTTCAACACGTTGATATATGTGAATCGGGCGGCCCATTATTAGTCCGATTCTTAAATGGTCTAATACTTGATTGAAAATTGATAAAACACGCGGATACTCTCGACCCGATAAGTAGCCCGGGAAATTACCCACCCCTACTATTTGGGAAAATGTAATGAGAGGAGGCAAAGGACTTACTCTGCAACAGATGTTTTATAAGGGGGGCCACCCTCATGATCATCAATCTGCCAACAAAAACTTAAGTTACCTAGCGCAACTCAAAAAACTTAAGTTACCTAGCCAACCAACCAAAACAAACAGCAAACCCATTGCCACACCAGCACTCATAGGGAAGCAGAGCAATCCAAGTTCCAATTGTACATGGGCCTTAGCCAATTTAAATCAGAAATGTGTTCTTTCCACTGGTACTAGGATTAAATTGATTAGTATCCAACAAAAAAGTAGAACAAGCTCATGTCATATTTTGGTTTAGCCAACTATATGAGCTTAAATATTTCCTTATTGCCTATGGACCCTATGGTGAGTCAGTGACTCATCCATATGGCTGAATGTGAACATAAAAGTATACAAAGCAACCAATGAGTATCAATCACATGTAACGGTCAAGGAGTTATGGCCTTTATTTAACTTTGAGCGTGAATATATGAAACCTCCATGCATTGGTGTAAGCCTCGTTGGAGCTATCTACATCATTTCGGGATCCATTTGGCTTATAATTAGTTCTTTTGCATTTATGAAGTATGTTAAAAGCAATGGAAGGCTGGAGCATATTCATCAATCCTCATGGACTGTGCTAGTCAGTTTAGATATTAACCGGACAACTAAAATAAATGGAAGAATGGTATAGTAGGTGTTGAAAAGCACCGGAAATATTAAGGTTATGAGCTCTCCATCAGGTTTCAAGAGATCTCGCATCCGAGCCGCCCATGCAGAGCGCAAATTTGGCTCAATTGCACAGAAAAACCTAAAGAGTGACAAAATGGAATGAGTTCATAATTGTTTCTAGCATCAAAGGGCATAGCAGATAGTTAACAGCTTACGTGTAATCAAAGATGATATCAAAGGGATCACTTGTCTCCCATGTAAAGAAGTCTTCTAGCAGAAAAGAACAGTAATTTACATTCGGGGATGATGCTGCCACCTATTTGAACAAGAGATTGAATGAATCTGCAAGATTATATATACAATTATACATGAATATGAACAATACTAAATGCAGAGTCGCCTGGTGATCTATATATCCTCAGACTCGCCTGGGTGCTTTATCAAGGGAAGTACTCCCTCCGTTTTCAAAAACTCTTCCTCTTTCATTTTTTTAACTTCCAATAAATCACTTCCACTTTCTATTAAAAACCTGTTTTACCCTTACTTTTTCATACCCTACCTATCACATCATACTTTTTCTCTAATACTCAATCTATCCATCTTACTTTTACCCATCACATCAAGGGCAAAATTGGAAGTCAACTACAATTTAACACTTTCTTATTTTTACACAAAGTCAAAATAGGAACACTTTTATAGAACGGAGGGAGTAAATATTACATATTCCAGAATCCACACGTCTTTAACTGCCCAGCTTAATGATTTTTTCTTGTTTTTTAGTTTTTTCCTAATCATCTTTTTTTCTGGGGAGGGGGTCGAGTTCAAATCATGAACGGGATATCTTGGAACTTGCAGGACTTGAACTCCCACTCAGATATCACTCATGCAAGTGGTGTTATCCCATTCCCCAAACGGCCCAAAGCTTTAAATAAAACATCAACCCATGACAGTTGTCTGGATCTGATCCATTTTCCTATTTAAAAAGGAACCCAGATTTGGTATCATGTGTTGATTGTGTTCCGGATCCGCATTAGATTGTGTGTGTCTAGTTTATAGTATTAATTTTACTCTTGATGTAATATTTCTTTATTTATATTTATATTGTACGCATGTGTGTATACTGTATAATAAATATAGTTATAAAACGCCCTGGAGTAGTAGTAGTCATTATTATTATTATTTTAAGGTGTTCAAATAATAATGAAAATAATAATATACTCTGTAGTTATATTCGAATCCATTGGAACCGGAACGGTTAGAGCTTTAAAAGTCATGGGTTTGGATCCAGAATATGTTGCAATGGCACAGATTCAGTCCGCTGACATGCCCACATGCCATTGTGCCTTTTGTTGGGTTGGTGAGGCCCAGCAAAAGGGTTTAAACTTTAAAGACTTTAAATTCAGAAAAAAATATTGTTGTTGGAAAAGGAAAGAAATGAAACAAAACTAGAAAGGATGGATTGGAGGGCAAGAAAAGGGAGACCACCTGTTTTGCTTTATTGATGGCAACTTCCGATATATCCAGTCCAATAGCATAACGCTCTTGTGATGCAAGTGCCACCACATCATAACCCTATAATTGGAAAATGCATAGAGCATTAGACAAGGCATGAGCGAGAGAGGGAGATAACAGGCAGTAGGATATGCTTCAGTCGGAGGAAATCAAATTTTCTATTAACAAACATGATATGCTTATATAGCAAAAAGGAATGGATGAAACTCCACATCATATAAATGCAATGAATCCATAATTTTGTCAGCAGATGGAGCAAGATTAATCAGTTTAGAAATGAAACACCAGCTATGAGACTCAAAGCACCATCAAAACATCAAGTCATGAGAATACTAACAGAGCTTACCCCGCCACATCCAGGGACTAGAGCTCTACCATTAGCAATGGATTTTGTCTCAATAAGGTGTTGAAGAATTGGTGTGGGTCTTCCCAGATCCCATGGTGTTATTCCTTCTTCCCAGCATCTTTCCCACCCACCTGATCAAGAGTTACACCAGAATTCAATGCTTTTTGAAAGAATTGCAATACCAATTTTTTTTCTGTAACAGTTATTCAGATGATTCCACAACTGTTGCAACGCAATTCAAAGGTCACTGGAGTTCACACAACAAACTATAGAGTATCCCATCGATAAACCCTAAACGTACTAGCCCCTGATTAAACCCTCCCAACGTGAATAAAGACAGTAAATCAGGTGGTGGAAAAAAAACAAATAAGAAAAATAAGAGCGACTCCAAATTACCGGAGAGATCGGAGTTCATAGCTTTTCCGATTTTGTCGACGGCGGCCGATGAACCTTCTCTCGGAAGCTTGCTAGCCATCAAACTAAGCCGTCTCCCAACAGCCGGTCGCGCGGCAGATGCTAGAAGAGAACGGAAAGGAAGAGAGGAAACTCGGGTTAACGGCGACGGAGCTTTGCCGACAATGACGGAGAGAAGGGAAAAAAGCATTGAGTTGCTCAACGGCTGGAGATGATCCACGGCTGCAGGCGAATCTCCCGCGAGTTTGCAAGAACGAGTTGCACAGTACATTCATTTTTGTAATTTTAGAACTCTGAAGTCGACAAAAATGGAGAAGGGTCCAATTTGATATACAAAATTGATCGAATTGAATTTGAATCAAATCAACATAATTTCTAAATTATTAATTTCAAATCTACATAATTTTGTGCTACCAAACATATGAATTAGAATTGAAGTCCTCAATTCTAATTCTATAGTTTGAATTCCGTACACCAAACAGAACCTAAGGGGTACTAAGAGCACGAACACCCCATGCAAGAATAACAAAGTGAAGAAAATGCAAAAGTAGTATAATTACTATGCAAGGGCTCTTCAACACCTATATTTTCTTTGAGAAAAGTCCCAACTCTCTTCTCAATGAAAATGTATAATTAATTTTTTTAGATGAGAAGAATTGTTGAATAATTGAATAATTATACAGAGTATTATTTAAGGAATAAAAAACAAAAGAAGGTATAAATAGGAGGTAATCCCAAAATGTATGAGATTCTATATAGAACTAGAAGTTAGCTAATATGGAAATATAATCATAACTAGATTTGTTATTCTTAGTATTATTTGTTTCCTAACATTTCCCCTCCAGCTAAATACCGTGAAACGAGAGGAAGCTTGGAAACAAGAGTGGCAAATCGTGAAGATGGTGGTGCTTTTGTGAGAAGATCGGCAAGCTATTCGGTGACTTGTTCCCGAACAAAGTGATAGTATGTGCTAACATGCTTCATACGCTTATGGAAAACAAAATTCTTGGTCAAACAAATAGTTGGTTGATTGTCACAGAATATGAACGGAGGAGGCAGCCAAATGCGTTGGACTTCAAAAAGATACGTTAGCCACATGACTTCAGACACAACAGAGGACAGTGCACGATATTCCGCCTCAATTGAGATTTGGACACGTGGCTTTGTTTTTCTATACTCTAGGAGATGAGATTAGGACCAAGATAAATGAGATATCATGTGATAGAACGACCATTCTTCATGTCATTCGCCCAGTCCAAATCAGAATAGGTCTGAAAGGCGATAGGACCGCGCCTAAAACGAAGACCCAGATCAATAGTTCCTTTAACATATCGTAAGATTCGCTTGAGAGGTTGAAAATCTTGTTCAGTGGGTGCATGCATACCTTGATGGACATGATTATTCTCAGCAAACTAGATGTCAGGTCTTGTATTAGTAAGATAATGTAAGGGGCTAACTGGACTTCTGAAGAATGTAGGATTATCGATCAAATTAAAAGGTTTCTCTGCACCATCATCACTGGACCGAACCAGCATAGGCGTGGGAGAAGGTTTGTTGTCATCCACCCCTTCTCGATGGAGTATTTCACGGGCATACTTCTCCTACGAAAGAATTAACTCATTTGTTGTCCCTTGAACTTCAAGACCCATGAAATAGTAAAGAGGACCAAGATCTTTCATCTGAAACACACGCAGAAGTGATGTAATAAAGGTGTGAATGAGGGGAGAGGAACTGAGTGTAACAATAATATCATCAACATAGAGTAGGTGTATAATGATGCCATGTGCAATATGCATAACAAAAAAAATAGTGTCATGAACAGTGCGTTGAAAGCCATAGACAATGAGAAAACCAGAGAGGCGCTCATACCATGTGCGTGGGGCATACTTCAACCCATAAAGAGACTTCTTTTCAATAATACAAGATTGGACAATCAATGAGTATAAAAAAATAAACACAATAATTGTTATAATAATAGTAAATTTAATAATAGTAATAATAATAATAATGTTACAATAACACAACTCCCTTCAGTTGATAACAAGTTTCCAACCCTCCCTTAACCCTTGTCCCCACCTCAGATCCATCAGCACCCTTCCCAAAATGCTACAACAATTATTGTAGCATTTTCATATTTTGGGTGGGGGTGTAGGAGTTTGGGAGGGATTAAAAAGTGCAATTCATCAATTTTTCAAAGAGTGCACCATAGATCTTGCTGTCATAATATAATTTTTATATTTGTTGTCAAAAGAAGGGAGCTCTAGAATAATATTAAGGGATAGAAATTACTCTAAAATACATAATGGAGTACTCGTCTATGATACAATGAAGCAACACATGCAAGTAAGTACTTTAAACACTCCATAATTAACCTCAAACAGTTCAACCTTTAATGATCGGTTTTAAATGTTTATATTTTCGTCCCGTCTCACTTGAAATTGATCCGAGTTCTGCTCGACACTACTATAAAAAAGCCTTTTTGAATAGATTATTTTTTACCTTTTTAGATCAGTTGTAAACCGATTCAAAAGTTGGCGATGCAAATGATGAGGTAACTTTTTGCATCGGTTGTTTAACCGATTCAAAAGCCTCTTTTCCAGTATTCTGTCCACTTTGGGAAGGAGCATTTGAATCAGTTATTGGGAATCACCGATCCAAATAACTAATAAGCATTTGAATCGGTTATTCTTAATAACCGATTCAAAAGGTTATTTGAATCGGTTATTGTTGGCTAATTATCAGTAGGATTATGATTGCCTGAGATGTTCTAGTTCTAATATGGATAGAATTATGGGTCCTAGGCTTAATTAGTTCTATATATATCTTAGCCAAGCTTGAGTTATGAAATGAGAAACATATGAGAGTTTATTGTAATTGGTTTTGAGTAATTTTCCAGTTATAATAAAAGATTGTTTCCAGGAGTAACCGATTCAAATGCCAAGCGATACGTTTATTTTGCTTATCGATGCAAATGAGGGGATTTATTTAGTCATTTTTGTAGTAGTGCGAGATGAAGAAAACAAATTTATTTTAAAAAATAAACAGTTTGACATTATCAGGATTCAGTATGTTATCATGCTAGTTTGTTTTTTTCATCGCTAATAATTTGGAGGAGTTTATGACATCAATACCTCTTGCGGGTTGGTAAATGTGAATCGTTACCCCTAACGCTTACAAAATTTACACCGTTGCTTCCCATGATTTTGATATTCATACGGGAATGCCCGTTTAGACTAGTGCCCTTTTAAATCTAGGTAAATAGCTATGTGGTTTTAGAAAATGGATTTCGACGCCCCTCCTTTTTCTTCTTTATTACTCCCTCCGTCCGGAAATTTTCTTCCCGTGTTGACTTGGCACGCTTATTAAGGAATAGTAAAAAAAATGCAAAATTTTCAAAACTGCACAAACTATAAACTTTTAAATCTTCTTTTATTATTAAAAAAGTATTAAAAAAGTAGATTTGTGATAAAATAGAAGAGTATTATTGATATTTAGCCTTAAAAAGCATACTAAAAAAGGAAATGGGAAGATTATTTCCGGACGGACAAAAAGGAAAATGGGAAGAATATTTCCGGACGGAGGGAGTAATTTTCTTTTTCTAATCTTTTTTTTCAAAAATGTTTTAAAGTTATATTTTAAAACTATTTTTATCACGTTTTAAAAAATAAATGAATTTTGTGTTTCAAATAAATTATAAAATACAAAAATAAACATATACTTCATTTGTCTCAAACTTAACATTTGGATTTTTATCTAAAAATGTTCTTATTTTTTTGAATCTATTGGACCAAAAGAATACAAACTTAGATCTTTTTTAGAGTGATTTCCAACAAATTTTCTTAATGACTTCATTTTCTACTCTTTATAAAGCTATTTTTTATGTATATTTTTCTATTTTATTTTATTTTATTGTTTTTTACTTTTATTTTGACTAAAATCCAAGAAAATGATAAATAGAAAATAAGAAACTAAAAATAATAGAAAAGAAAAATGAAAATAAGAAAAAGATATGAAAAAATACTTTTATACAAAAGTGAAAAAATGAATTCCTGAAAGAATTATATTGGACGTCAGTCCAAAATGTCTTTACTATGTGTATTTTGGCCCAATGGATTAAAAAAATAAAGATTATTTTTGGACTAAAAATAAAAATGTTAAATTTCAGGCAAATGATGTATACATTAATTCTTTTTATTTCATTAAGTTTTTTTAATTCAAACATAAAACTTTTAATTTTTCAAAAAGGTATAAAAATGAATTTATAAAACATTTATGAAAAAATAGAAGAAAAAAAGATAAACAATAAAGTAGAAAAAGTTTTTCCTCATTTGAACCTCGCCCTTCACTTTCAAGGCTATGCCATTCTAAGGTGCTTCTAAATGGATGAATCTTATCAACGTCCATGAATGAGAAATCATATAATGCTTCAGTGGAGATAAGCAGACTCGAACCGCTGTACTGCGCTCTACTACTAAGCTAATAGCCCGTCGTGCGAGCCTCCCACTGGGGTGGGGGGGACTCACAAAGCCAAAGCCCATGTCACCGGAAAGAGCGGGCATCGGCGTCCACAATTATTTATCTAATATTAAAAGGCTTATTTAATTTAGGAGGGTATTTGCGTATGAATATTAAAACCTCGAAAAAGAATAACTCTAAATAGGAGTAAAACACAGAGAAATTACCAAAATAGAAGATTCATATTTTTATCCCCAAAATATAAGAGTTTTGAATGGGGCAATGTGACACTGTATAAAAACATTTCATAATATATCTTGAATCTTGATAATATACATGGTCATAATTAGCACTGTAAATGTATTTTAACTTTCGTTTCGAGAATATAAACATGAAACTCCTATCTTAATATATTTTCAATATTTTATTTCTACTTTAGTCTTTTTTTCTTCAAAAATAATACTCCCTCCGTCCCTAAGTGTTTGTCCACTTTCATTTTTGCACACCATCCAATGCACTTCTTTAATCCATTTTATCTTGTAATTTGTATATTAAAAAATTATAAAAATTATATATTAATGATCTATATGTTAAGACAAATCAAACAAGATCACACATGACTATTTTTAGGCTTACACATTGAGAGAATTTCATAAGTCAAAGTGCTTAGATGAACAGTTCCAAAAGTCAAAAGTGGACAAACACTCAGGGACGGACCAAGTAAGAGATAATAATACACATTTACCCAATCAAGCATTGGTGCAATAATGCAAATTATACCATACAACCGGTTGTACCCAAAATTGGGTACTACCCGTAAATTAAAGAAGAAAATGCGTCGATCGGAGGAGAAAAGAGGTGCTCCTAATCGGGTCGGGTCGGAGGAAGGAAGCTGCATCCAAGGAGAGCTGTGGAAGGCGAAATTGATCTAAGGCGATGAAGAAGGAGATGTGCGAGAGCAAAATCGGTCGGGATGAAGAAGGAAGATCTGTAAAATCGATCGGCGATGCAGAAGGCTCTCTCGATCCGCGATTCCAGATCTAATTGGTAGGCAAAACTATAATTCCAAATCTGTTCTAATTCCAATGTGGTCTTTAGTCAGATTTTGGATTTTTATGAATGGTATATTGTTTTAGAATGAGCACTAGATTATTTGAGAATAAGTACTACTAGGTTTTAGAATGAGTATTACGTTATTAATAAATGAATATTGTACAAATGTGTGCAAATGAGTACTACATATTTCAAAATGAGTACTGTATTATTCCAGAATGAGTACCACGCTATTTCAAATAAACTATCATGTTTGTGCGAGAACGAGTACGATTTTACTTCAGAATAAGTATTACCCGGATGTACTTATCTCTAGGTACAACCCGTTGTACCATATGCTTACTCGTGCAGTAAACTCGTGTAGTACTCATTCTCCTACAAATATAAACATTAATTTCGAAATACGTAGTACTCATTCTGGCAAAGGTAGTACTCATTTTAAAATAAAGAAGTACTCATTTTTACACATTTATCTAATATAATTATAACAAATAACGTAGTGTTCATTCTTAAAAAAACAATAGTCATTCTCAAATAAGGAAACATTCATTCTGAAATAAAATATTGTTTAATTTTTTCACAATTAAAAAGTCGAGTACCATCATCAACTTCTTCCTTTATTCGATTCGTTCCTACTCATTTATACTCTCTGAGCATGGAGAATTTAAAACTCAGGTTTATTCATGTTTGTATTGAATAAGAATATGATAATTTTCATAAATGCTGGTACTCCTCAAATCGTACTCATTGTCATATATAATAGTTTGCATATATGTTCTGGGCATTGATTAAAAAGTTAGGAGCTGTTTGGCAACTTCCGAATAGGTAAGTGTTGAACCAGTAAGAAGTCTGAACCATTAAGTGCTGAACCAGTAAGAGGTCTGAACCATTAAGAGCTAGTATATTGCTTAACTATTCAGAACCAAATGTCTGATCAATTCATATAAGAGGTGTTAACCATTCAGACTCTGTATAATACTTAACCATTCAGAGGCAAATGTCTGAGCCATTCAGACAACCATTAAAAGGCTGAAATAAATAGTCTGAACCAGTGATGAACCATTAAGAGGTCCCCTACCAAAATTTACAAAAATACAGCAAACAATTGCAGATCCACCCCCAACCAACTGAAAGATTGGGTTTCTTTCATACACTCCCGGCGCAGCAGAATCATCAAAGTCCATTTCGGATCTCCCGGCAAGACCCTAGTGCCGGTTTCTTTTCACCCCCATGGTCTCCGTCTGTTGATATTCGAAGCTCACACATCGATCCAAGATGTACATGGCATACGGATGGCCGCAGGTCATCCCTCTGATGCCCGGTTCATGCCCGTCTTCTCAGCAAATTGTGTACCTCAAGGTCACCAATGGCTTATTGCTTGTGGTTTCGCCAATTCACATCGAGCTCTGGTCTTCTTCTCAGGTTATGCATATGAACGGCATTTTTTGTCGTTGATTGGTCCATGTATAAATGTTGGATAGTAATTTGTACTCACGCCGTTCAATCTGGATTCTCTTTCAGTATAGGGTGAGATTGGCGAAGTACAAGAGAAGTTCAGATTCAATTCGCAGTGAAGGAGAGAATATTCAGGCTGTTTGGAGCCCTGATACCAAATTGGTTGCTGTTCTCGTAAGTTTAACTTTAGTTAAAGCATAAAAAATACTGTTCTGTGTTGTTTCTGGGGGCTCTGAACGAGCTTTTAGTAGAGTGTTGACTACTCCCCTACAATTTTCTCTATAATACTGTTTTGGCAGTCATTAAGTCATTATCTTTAAAGGAGCTGCAATTTGCAGTTACCCTCATATCTATTTAGTTCGGGCAGGGGGATTGCTTGGTAGTAGTTTTATGAGAGACTGGCACTTAGCAGGCCATCAAATTTAGTTTTTCTGAATGGTCGTTTCTTGCTTGTTATTTTCTTTTCATGGGAGAATCTGTCTTTTTGATGACAAGGGCGGTTGAAAACTGTTTGATATCTAAAAGGACACTTAAAATGAATTTTTTTCAACCCTATTTCCATCAGTTTGATTTATTGTGAAATAAATTGAGTAAATTCATACTAAATTTGGTAAGTGTTAGCTGACTTGAGTTCCTTTTGCTCTTTATCAGACCTCATCTTTGCATCTCCAAATATTTAAGGTTCAGTTTACAGAAAAGAAGATACAAATTGGAGGGAAACAACCATCTGGTTTGTTTCTAGCAAACATAGGTTTACTTCTTAACGAGCAGGTGCCATTTGCTCACGAGAATTTGACAGTGTGAGTGATTCATTACCATATTTAGGTTTTAACTTTTCATGCTGAGATGATAGAAAATTCTCATATTTCTGACGTAATAGGATATGCTTTATGCTTAAATAATTATTAAAAGGAAATACAAAATATGGAACTTAATACGGAGCATCAAGTTTTGGAAACCATTATAATTTATATGCTTCTGCTTGGTGCATTGTTTATTGTAGTTAGATCATGAGTAGAAGAACAATTGGATGCCCATGAGAATTTGACTTGCTTTTGTGTTATATTTCTTGTTTTAGGTTGGTCCGTGATAGTGTCCTGATTATGGCTCTCCTTTGCTGATTTGTTTGGCAGGAGCAATATTGTCTCTGATAACAAACATATGCTTGTTGGACTCTCTAATGGTTCGTTGTACAATATTTCCTGGAAGGGTGAGGTAATAGAATTACTGTTGAGATTTGTCAATAATTTCCATGTTTAAGAGTTAAGAAGTGATTTTATCAATCTTTAGAAGCATGTATAATATTATAATGTAATGCTGAAGTGTAACTATTTAACTCTTTTTGGCCTTTTCCGTTGAGCCTATTAGCGCTTTGAATATTTTGTGCACTAATATATTGTCATTATACTGATTGTTATCGATACAGTTTTGTGGAGCCGTTAACATTGATGTTCAGTTTTGCGACGGTAGTGGGGCTACCAAACATTCGAATAACATGGAAAATGATTTTGCTTCAACTGGAGCAGAAATCGATAATGCTCCTAGTATTTGCAAGTCTCAACCATCCGCTGTATCCCACCTGGAATATTCCCAACCCTTAAGATTGCTGTTTGCTCTATTTTCTGATGGGCAACTCATCGCATGTTCTGTAAGCAAGAAGGGCTTTAGAATGGCCGAGCATGTCAAAGCTGAAAAGAGATTGGGCTCTGGTGATGCTGTTTGTGCCTCTGTTGCTTCAGAACAACAAATTCTTGCCGTTGGTTGCAAAAGTGGCGTTGTTGAGCTGTATGATCTTGCAGAATCCACTTCACTGATACGTTCTATTTCTTTGTATGACTGGGGGTAAGCCTCTATGCTACAGTATGTGTAAGATATGGAGATCTGCAAGTGGATGTGATACTATTACACATTTAATTTTACATAAGTTGCCACTGTTTTTTTTGTAATTGTTTCCCATTTGGAAATAAATTCACCTTAACATTGGCAGTCATTAGAGAATGGGTTAACAGTATTGAACTTGAAGAAGCTATTAGAGAAAGATATACTAATTTTTTAATGGTGGGAGAGGCGGTATAGAGGATGACCTAACACATAGTTCTTCTATTACAGCATCTCCATATAGTGCTTTGTACAATTTTTAGGCTTAGTAGTTTTATATGCTCTTTGTACAACAACAACAACAACAACAACATGCCCGGTAAAATCCCACGAGTAAAATCTCCACACCTTTATATGTTCTTTGTAGTATTGTAATTTTATGCTGGTTATATGCTTTTTTGCACTTGGGCAGAATGAAACCGCATTTTTTTTTGAAGGAAATCATGAATGATTTATTTTGATATTATTTCTGGGTTTCAATTTGCAGATATTCCGTTGAAGATACTGGTGCTGTGAATTGTATTGCTTGGACCGCTGACAATTCTGCTTTTGCAGTTGGGTGGAAGTTAAGAGGGCTTTCTGTTTGGTCAGTTTCTGGTTGTCGATTGATGTGTACAACCCGTCAAGCTGGATTAAATTCAATATCTTCCCCTGCAATTAAACCTAACCAGGAATGTAAATATGAACCTATGATGACTGGCACCTCACTGGTGCACTGGGATGAACATGGTTATAGGCTTTATGCTGTTGAGGAGGGTTCTTCAGAGAGAGTTATTGCATTTTCTTTTGGAAAGTGCTGTCTCAACAGAGGAGTTTCTGGGACAACTTATGCTCGACAAGTAATATATGGTGAAGATAGGTTGCTTGTTGTCCAGTCAGAAGATACTGATGAACTTAAAATCTTGCATATTAACCTTCCAGTATGTGCCGGACATACTGAGGATTACATTTTCTTAAAAGCATCATGTTCTCATTTTCTCAAATGATACGTTTCTGATATATTATGTTTAAATATCAGGTTTCATATATTTCCCAGAATTGGCCCATTTTACATGTGGCTGCTAGCAAAGATGGGATGTACTTGGCAATTGCTGGCCTTCATGGGTTGATCTTATATGATATATGTCATAAAAAATGGCGGTTTTTTGGAGATATTAGCCAGGAGCAACATATTCAGTGTAGGGGCTTGTTATGGATGGGGAAAATTGTTGTTGTTTGCAACTATGATGATTCTTCCAATGGGTAAGTATATGTGATTGAAGTTAGCTATGATGATTCTTCCAATGGGTAAGTATATGTGTTTGAACTTTGAAGTTAATGTTTGGAAGATGTTCAAGTGGTATCCGGATCTTGTCTCTGAACATATAAAGTGCCATTTCACTGGCCAGTACGTCTTTCAACAACTTGATCCACCCCTTCATATATTCCTAAAGTAGCTAAGGAAATCTAGGAATCTTTGTATTTGTACGTAGTAGTTTCTTAGGAGCTACAAAAGATAACTGCAGTTTTCTGAGTTTGTTATGTTTAATGGGATAGAAAGTATTATGTTTATTCTATCTTTGATTAATACAAGGAACAATTATATAACGTGGGTTTTTAGCATTTGCCTCTTACCTTCAAGGCTGCAGCTGACCTTCCGCTAGCTTTTATTTCTCAACACTATCCCCCCAAATTAGAGCATGATTGTCATAATATCCAAGCTTGTCACATATGTACTCAATCGTAACAAAAGTTTCATTGGGAGACCTCATTGTTGGAATAAATTGAAGCAGCTTATGATTAAGACTGAGAAGGGTCAAAAGAATGAGCTAGATGGGATAGCTGGTGAAATCAGTTTGAAAGCAGTTGCAAGCAGGCAACAATAGAAATGACAACTTTGACGGGGCCAGGAGCCCCTTTGGAAAACAACATCAATGCAAACACTTGTTTTTCATTAACTAACCAATTTCTCTCCGAATTCCTTTTTTTAGTTTTCCCAAATATGCGTAGTTTCTTTCAAAAAAGATTCTTGGGTTGATATTTTTTTCTCCTTTCAGAATAAACTTCAACCAAGAATTTCATTTTCTTAATATTAGCAGGCCAAGTTAAAGCAAGGTGTTTTTTTACTTGGACCATTTTTTTCTTATTAAACCATTAGTTTTGTTTCGTTTGTAACTAGTCCCTCAGTCTAATTTTTTTTTGTTCTTTTTTTACCTTTTTTTGTCCATCCAACTATTTCTCGTCTCATACCATATTCGGTCTTATTTGTGTGATTCACATTCATTCTTACATTATCTTACTTTTTAACATCAATATCAACCAGAAAATCTTTATCTTCATGCCACTCCCTCATGCCGTAAAAATAGTGGGACGAAGGGAGTATATTTGTATATTTCTTATATAGTCTTTAATTAAAATATTCTAAAATATTTCAATCCCAACACTTCAACTGTATTGCGCATTTGCGCCAAATAAGCTATGACTCACAATCGCTCTTAATTTCACAAGTTAAGCTACCTATCTCACAACTACAACAAGTGCTTCACACAATTTTTTCAATCTCACCTTATTATCAAAGGGGCCCAAGTTGGTGAGCATCACGGGCACAACATAGTTTGTTGGAAGCTTCAATTTATTAAAAAGATTCTACAATGGATTATTTGTGATCCAGTGTTTTGATGAATGACATGAAGTGTAGTGTTCATGTCGCAAGAGTGAATGCAAAACCAGGCCAAAGGTTGTGGCTCTGACACCAAGTAAAATAGGAATAATTATCAGCTATATATGCATGAACTTTTAGCTTAGCTACACTTCCTACCCAAACTTCTTGCTATTAACTTATCCACTAACCTACCCAGTATAATCTCACTAGTGGGGTTGGTGCATGTAGACCTTACCCCTACCCAAAAGAGGTAGACTGTGTCTGAAGAGTGAAGACCAACCCTGGCTTAACTAACCAATAGCTTATTTTAATAATTCTTGATATCTCAATAGTTGAGAATACTCATCATTACACTTGTAAGTTGTAATATCAAATTGCAGGTATGAGCTGCTTTTTTACCCAAGGTACCACCTGGACAAGAGTTCACTTCTTTGTCGGAAACCTCTGCTGGCAAAACCAATGGTGATGGATATTTATCAAGAATATATACTTGTCACTTACTGCCCTTTTGATGTCCACATTTATCATGTGAAACTGTTTGGTGAATTGACCCCTTTAAGCTCTCCAGATTTACAGGTAACACTGGCTTGTTGATTTTCAAATGGTATTCAAGCTTGTAAAATGGTTTGGCATTTAAAATATTCATTAAAAATATTGTTTATGGTAGCATTGTCTTTAAAATTATTCTTTGTCCCTCTCAAGTAATAAAATGACAAACAGCTTTCTACAGTCCGAGAGCTTTCAATCATGACTGCAAAGTGCCACCCTGCAGCAATGCATTTCTTACCCGAACAGCTTCCTAGGAAAACTTTAACAGACGATGCTATATCTTCACCTGACAAATTAGTGAGAGAGCCTGCTAGGTATTTGATTACTCTCAGTAATCAGTAGACACTAGACAGATGAGTTTTCAGTTGCAGTGCATTAATACCTATTTTTTTCTTCCAGATGCTTGATTCTAAGGACAAATGGAGAGCTTTCACTCCTTGATTTGGATGAGGGGAGGGAAAGAGAGCTCACTGACTCAGTGGAGTTGTTCTGGGTTACATGCGGTCAATCAGAGGAGAAAACTACCCTGATTGAGGAAGTTTCATGGCTGGATTATGGCCACCGAGGAATGCAGGTTACCGATTTCTTTAGCATTTAACTTTTCTTGATGAATCTTAGCCTTCCACCATATAAGTCTCATTTATATACTGGTTGAAAGCTCATGATTACAGGTTTGGTATCCATCTCCAGGTCTCAACTCTTTTAAGCAAGAAGACTTCTTGCAGGTACTCAAGTGCTTTCTTTCTAGTTATATGCTTTGGATGAAAAATACTTTTCTAGCGATACCTGTTCCTATATCACTATTTGTGCATGGTGTCATACTGACTTTATTGGAAATTGGATGGTCTCTCTCTCTTCTCTCTTCAATTCATTTGCTCACCCACACACTCTTTCACACTCATAAAAAGAGCTGCCTGGTAAATATTTAATATTTAATTATGCGTGCTGATACTTTGATACCAACTTTTAGTTGGACCCTGAATTGGAGTTTGATCGCGAGGTTTATCCTCTTGGTCTACTGCCGCATGCTGGAGTTGTGGTTGGCGTTTCACAGAGAATGTCATTTTCTGCGAGCACAGAGTTTCCTTGTTTTGAGCCATCCCCCCAAGCTCAGACTATATTGCATTGCTTGCTAAGGCATCTTTTGCAGGTAGCTTCTAGTCACCAAAAAACTCATTTTAGCTTTGTTCTGAGATGAGGTTCTTTACTTAAAACATACAGAGAGGAATCATCTGACTCTGGTACAATGAGGATCTTGGGAAAAGTGATTAACTTTCCCTGCAGACTAGTTTTGCATGACCACCTAGGACAAAATGTGTTCAACAGAATAGTATACACAAAAATTAGCACATCAAATCCAAATAGGATTAAACTATAATCTAAACAAAGCATATTTTTTATTAGTTGATGCTTTAGCGTCATGGATTTTTAAGTTCAGAAACTTTTAAGTAGGCATTTGTGACTAGTAGTCTATTACTCCCTACTCCCTAAAATTTTCATTAGTAGATGCTTTATCAGTCATGGATTTTTTAAGTTGGGATATATATGGGATTCCAACTCACTATAAAATTTCCATGGTTTTGTGCTGATGAGTCTAATGTGCCTGTCCCTGTGTGCTTGATAAAATTGTCAAAAGGGGTATTTAATTAGATCAGTTTTTGTCTTTTACTATTAATATATTCCCAAGACAACATTCTTGAGAAACGTTGTTAATGTTCCAACCTTTCAACTCCCTTTGTAATTGTTCAAATGGAGTAGAAATTATAGAATAGTAATGTTTAGTTAGGGGCTGATTGGTAGAGCTCATGTGAACTGAATTGAATAGAACTGAGATTAATTGAACCAAACTTATAGGTACTGAACTGATCTGAACTAGGTACTAAATTGATCTGAACATAACTTAGAGATACTGACTTACAAAGAACTTATATGTACTTAACTAATACTCCCTCCGTCCCTAAAAGACTTTCATGTTGTGGGCTAAGGTGCTTGATTGAAGTTACTTTCAATTCAATTCATATACAAGTTGGTGCAAAATTTCAAAATAAAACTTATACATTTAAGAGCTACATACAAAGTTCTACAAAACAAGAGGTGACAATACTATTATTTATCAAACGAGTAATGAAAATGGGAAAAGGAAATGGTCAAAGTTATTAAATATACTCTTTTAATATATAATTATGTGAGTTATTAATACAGAGTATAATTTTCAATATTACTATTTTTATTCATATATATAATTATATATATATATATATATATATATTGATATAACTATTTATATTAATATAATTATACTATTAAGATTGAGTTAAGTGAATGGAAATGAACTTATAGGTAGTGAACTAAACTAAACTTATAGGTGCTGAACTGAACTGATGTGAATTGAAGTAAATAGAACTGACATTAAGTGCCATTTAGTGGGCCCTTAGTGTACATAAGCTCGCAGTTATTTCTCTAATTAATTCTTCTTAGTTGGTGTGCTAAAGTGGAGTATAAGAGGCATGTCCTAGTGGCGCACATAGAAAGTTGTTTTAGGGGAAAATATTCAATTATAGAACCCCGTGTTTGTCCATTGTGTTGTGCGCAATGTACTCCATAAATAGAATGATATGGGTACTTAAGGCAATATTAAAAAAACATACAACTCTACCAGTCACATTTTAGCTTTAGGGCCCATGTTAGTCCATACCATCCCTTTCTAAAAATATGAATATGTACTTGTAACGATGTTGTATGACCATTGTGGAAAAGTACATGAAAAATTATTGAAAGAAAACCTACGTCCCTAATAATTCAAGACCCTAAAGTATGCTTATTAAAGTTATCGGAACCCAAATAGCTTCGAAGTGAAATGTTCATAAGTTTTCATTGTATAAAATGTTCATTCAATAACTTCACAAGAAAATATGCCAATGTTGTATGTCATATTATTTTGTTTTTATTCACTGTCAGTCTAATTGATAAATGTTGGATGGTGTAGAAAGTTATCATTGATTAATATATAAAGAGTGAAACCCGCCATTGGATAGTGTAGAAAGTTATCATTGAGGTCGTTTCGTATGAAATCAAAGTCGAGCAAAATTTAATGCAATAAATAGGCTTCGAACATGTTAAAATATGTGTTGGCTGATTTTGTACAAAACGACCTTGGATTTTTGTGAATTTTTAGGATGATGATCTATCCTAGGGTGGGTTTAACAAAATCACAATTCATTTGCAAGATATGAATGTTGTAACTTGTAAGAATTGTTGTATAAAAAAATGTTGTTAGAATAAGTTCACTCATATATACAAACATTTATCTATACTTATTTATCTACCACAACAACATCAATATAAGAAAATTCATGAAGATAAAATTTTGAAAGAAAAACTGCTACTTTAATCTTTGCAAGCATGTCATATATGCACACACATTGCTCTTAAATGCATAGAATGTTGCAAGGCTTTCAAACTCGAGATATAGCTAGGTTTGGAAGGAGTTTGAAAACTCGTGGATCACAACTCAGATTGTAAGATCCTAGCTGCTAGTTAACATGTAAAGTTTAGAAAATATTTCTCTGTAAAACAACTTAAATTTAAAATTCATAGTGACAAGAAGTCATTCATACTTCGATGCTATAATCATAACTTTGGTCAATGCCCCATATGACGGCAATTCTCAAACCTAGTTGTGAGGCTTCGGCTTCAGTGTATGTGTGTGAAAGAAAAAAAATTGGCCGATGATGAGAATAAGAAAGCACATCCAAGAGGCTTAGGAGAAAAACTCCCAACATTGACCATTATTATCTCAAAGACAGAATAAAGCAAAGAGGAGAGTAGAAGACAAAGACCTGGTATGTTGTATGCATTGTGACTCGCTTCGTTGATTAGGTTTGAAAAGCCCGTTCTTTGCATCATATTACTGGATCTGTGAAACTAACGATTTACACAAACTTGATGAAGACGGATATGGTAGAGGCTGCAATTTTATGCTGTCTCAATGATACTAGTCAATCTGAACAGATTTTCAGTCCTATCATTGATTTGGTTCACTCAGCCCTTAAGAGCATTTACAATGGGAGCATGAAATCCGCCGCGCCGCTACACCATTGCAGGAAGAGAGGTGAAGATTGTGCCGTGCCACTTGCCGCAGTCCCGGCACCCAGCCAGTCGCCAAACCCGGCGTTTTTGGACAGGCGGCCGTCCATTCCGACGGTCTGCCACGCCACATCGTTTTTTTTAATTGTTCAGCCTCCATTTCCGTTCGCCGTCCATTGCTGTCCCGCCGCTCGCCATTCCGCTACAGCCCGGCGCGGCGGATATTTGGAGTCCATTGTAAGTGCTCTAACAAAGCGTAGGATCGTGCGATCTGGATGAACTCTACTTTTGATTAACAATGTTGAAATGTAGTAAAAAACACAAAAATTCAATTCAAGCAAATATACGAATGTTTACATCGTGTTACTTCTGAGCTCTCAGATCAAGTGAATGAAGTAAAGAATATCATTGAAAGGATTTAAAAAAACAAAAAATTCTAGCCTTGTGTGTCTAGAACTATAACATCAACATAAAGAGGAGTTATTCTTATCAAACATATGATACGTCATATATGCACGGATACATATTGCTCTGTATATGCATTAATGTTGTGTAGTAAAAAAGGGTAGAGATAAAACCCACCAATATGTGTTTGTGTGTGTGTAACAAACTCAGAGGAGAAGGGAGGCCCATTTCCGGCACACCCTTGCATGGGCCATTATTAGAATAATATGGTTTATATGGAGTAATAATCAGGTCTTGTTTAGGAGCGCCATGGTTACACAACATGATCTTTGATTTAATAAGTGCCTCTTCGCTACCCCACTATGCTTTTGATATTGTTTTACAGAGAGACAAGGATGAACAAGCACTAAGATTGGCTCAATTATCAGCAGGAAAACCACATTTTCCTCATTACCTTGAGTGGCTTCTTTTTACAGTTTTTGAGGCTGAAATTTCTGGGTAAGTTTGTAGGAAATTCTTTATTTATTTCATGATTACATTTATTATCCTATGAGAGGTATAATTTAGACATTGGGAATTGGGATAATCTGGGAAATAGGAATTTCAATTTTAAATGAACAGCATTTGAATTGTTCTATTCTTTGTCCTCATAATACTCGGGTTCTATTATGTAGTATCCTTTTTTTTCTTATTTGAGTTTAAGTTTAACTTCTGATTAATTGAACTTTCTTTGTTGACGAGTGATTTCATTGTTTAGTATTTACTGAAATTTGATGAATTAAATTTCATGTATTGCATGATTGCATCCACGTATTCCTCTCAGGACTTGAGCCTTCACTTTTCTCATAATCAAATATTGACTTATAAAATTTTTTTGCATGCTTGTCCCTTGATATTACTCTTGTGTGTTGACTGTTGAGTCTGGGTATTTCTTAGACATGTACTATAGGTGTACCTTTTGGTATATCTTTTTGGTGCGTGTTGCATACTTGCATTGTAACCATCGGATAATGAAAATGTTCTTTTTATTCTTCAACAGAAAACATACATTCTATTTAACTTTTGGACATTCAGAGTTACAATGTTTATTACTATCTTGAACAGAAAAAGCTCAAGAAACAACGTAACTACATTATCTAGTCACGGCACCATCACTTCTCTTCTGGATAAGACATGTGATCTGATCAGAAATTTTCCAGAGTACTGGGATGTGGTTGTTAGTGTTGCAAGAAAAACCGATGGCCGACATTGGGCAGATTTGTTTGCTGCTGCAGGGCGATCAACTGAGTATTAACTTCTTTTTTTTTCCCTTTGTTTTTGATGATGAAAGATATTTTCTCAATGTTCCAATGGTCACACATGCTCTTTAAGTTGGAGGGAAAAACACACCCATCCTTCCCATCTGAATTGACAAAGCTCCAAATCGCCTTGCACATTTCCTTTTCATGATGATTATATCACAAGATAAAGGAAAAAGAGATTAGCTGACATAAATTGGAAATTTATCTAAACACAGACATGAAGGTATTGCCTTTTAAACGTGTTTTCCCTTGTTTCTGCCCTCAGGTTATTTGAGGAATGCTTTCAAAGGAGATGGTACCGAACCGCTGCCTGCTATATACTTGTAAGAAGCGCTTCCATTACTTTTCTCTAATCTGAAGCTACCCTTGATCTGATTACACATTACTCGCATCTTTCCACTTTTCTGCAAATGCATGCAGTTTTGATTGTTTCTATCCTTTTTGTATGGGGCGATTTGGTGACTGTCTTCACTACATACGTTTATTCATCCATATTAATTTTACTAACATGTATTTATTGAGGAAAATTCTGTGCTCTGACAGTGTAATTGTATTATGCCATTGATGCAGGTAATTGCAAAGCTTGAAGGTCCTGCTGTGAGTCAATATTGTGCACTACGTTTGTTGCAGGTAAATATCTTTTACTGATAGGCTGTATATTTATATTCACAGGAATCACAGGTGTCAGGGATCATTTCTGCAAGATACCAGCTGGCTCTTTACTTTTTCTATTGCATCCATAGTCGACGTTTTTGTACTTTCCCTCCGTCCCAATGTATTGTCCACATTCTTTTTGGCACATGGACCAAGGGGAAGGTTATAAAGATTGGGATACTACAATTTTTCTCTTTTTAATGAGAGGAGTTGACGGAGTCAATAAAGCACTCCAAAAATTACTCCAAAAGGAAAGTGCACAAATACAATGGGATGGTCCAAAAAGGAATACTAGACAAATACATTGGGACGGTGGAGTACTCTTTATGGATTTTGGTTTTATGTTTGACTTTTGAGAGAAGCAAAAAAATACTCTGTTTCACATATCCCACTCTGACAAGGCTTCTTCATTCGTCAGGCAACACTCGATGAGTCCTTGTATGAGCTGGCTGGGGAGCTGGTATGGTTTTTAAAGTTTACATTGCATTATTATATGCTTTTGAAAAGATTATTAGATTTTGGGAAATGGAATACATCACATTAAAATCTTTCTTAGGTGAGGTTTCTTCTCAGATCGGGAAGAGAATATGAACCTACACCTGTGAATTCTGAGAAGTTATCTCCTCGATTCTTTGGATATTTTCTGTTTCCTTCAAGTTATCAGAGGCAATCTTTTGACCCAAAAGGGTAAGTGCCCCTGTATATATTATACTATTTGATGTCATTAATGTTGGTCTTCAGTAGAGTCCTGATGCCATCAGGCTTTCATCTGCTGTGCATTAATCTTGTTAATATTAACAAATCTTATGTCTAGCAGCCCATTCAAGGATCAAAATGCACATGTTGCTTCTGTTAAGAATATTTTAGAGAGTCATGCAAGCCTTTTGATGTCTGGGAAGGAACTCTCGAAGCTTGTTGCATTTGCAAAAGGCACACAATTTGACCTTGTGGTATGATAGTTTTGCACCTTTTTTGCTTTTGATATGCACGACGTGTGCTGTAACTGAAATTTTGAGCACAAAATAAACTCTTATGCAGGACTATTTGCGGCGAGAGAGATATGGATCTGCTCGCTTAGAGAATTTTGCCTTGGCATTTGAACTCATTGGACAGAAGGTACAAGCACTTTCTCTAGAGAACAGTCGTCACATTTATATTCCTAATAATTCACGATGCACCTTGTCTGTCATAAACAGAAGTGTTTAGCTGAATTTAAAACTTTAAAATTTACTCATCATAAAGAATAGGTTTAGGTTCCGTTTGCATGAGTTTTAGCCTATAGCTTTGGCATTTTGGCAAAATTAATATGCACCATTAAAAAATTAGAATGCTATCGCTAATTACAGTATTTGTTCGGAATGAAACCTTATTCTCAAGATTGAACACATATGATTGATGTGCTGATTTTTTTCGATCACCCAGCTTCAAATGGGGACACTGCAAAGTCGATTGGATGCAGAATTCCTTTTGGCTCAGATGTGCTCTGTCAAATTCAAAGAATGGATCGTTGTCCTGGCCACACTATTGAGGAGATCTGAGGTGTTACTAACTTTTCATATAAATGGATAACTGTATATTCTAATATGTCAACTAAGTTTAATTACAGTGAACTCCCTATGACCCATCTCACCCAAACACATTAATTGAATACTCCCCCTGTCCCATAATTATCTTCTTGAATGGGTTTGACACGATTTTCAATAAAGTAGAACATGCTTGGTACTGTGGTTGTGGCTTGTATAGAGGAAAAAAGAAATAATATGGACCACAATCTTTTCCTTAAAAAGAAAGTGGAACAAAATTTTGGGACAATCCAAATAGGAAAGTAAGAAGATAAATATGGGATGAAGAGAGTAACCTATAGTAGTAAATTTTGTTATTGTGATTGACACTGTTCTTTCCTGCAATTTGCTCAGGTTTTGTTTGATCTCTTTCGACATGATTTGCGTTTATGGGAGGCATATAGCATTACATTGCAGGTATTTTTTATATGCTTATCTTTGTACTCCCTCCGTCCCTAAATGATTTACACTTTCCGTTTAACGTGTAAAATCCCGTGACTTTTAAAATGATTTTATTTACAAATTGGTAAAAAAATAAAAATTATATATTCAAAAACAATATCAAAAGTTCTACAAAGTAAGAGGTGACAAGAATATTTTATTTTATCAAATGGTCAATGAAAATAGGCAAACTAACAAAAGTTATTGAGAAGATGTAATAGTAAAGAGATAAATCATTTTGGGACGGAGGGAGTAGTACTATCCCACTTTACACACCTGAGTGAAGTTTCAATATATGCAGTCACACCCGGCATTCACTGAATACCATGATTTGCTAGCATCCTTGGAGGAGAAGCTTTCATATCCCTCTAATTCAGAAAATATATGAGCCATGGAGATGCGGAAAAAGCCTTGTTTCTCTTAAGATCCGGATCATTGTCTTTCTACCATGAACAGGTTGTACTCTAGATCTGCTGTAAAGTAGCTATCTGCTTTGTTTGCATTATAGTGTTTGGTCACGGAATGCAAAAACTTTAAATTGTGAAACACTGCTTTTAGCAGCGTGTTGGTGGCCAAAATGCTGATATACAAACCCGGAGTGTGACACGAGAGAAACACATTAAACATAATAGGAAATATGATGTGAGGTTTATGTTTATAATTCACAATTTTTTTTTGCAGAAATAATTTAAATTGTAGATAGGCGTAGTGATGCTGTTTTTTTTCTTCAAATCTTTTCATTCCCAATCATTTTTTGTTCCTGTCATGGTTTGTCACTTGTGGTTTGAGTCATTATTTGTAAAGTTACAGTTTACACTTTTGTTTTTGACAAAGTTTTTGCATTGGCTTATACCCAAGGGCCAAGACATTGTCATTCAGCTTCTGCCCATTGTGGTAAGTGAACATTACTGCATTTTAACCTTACTGCATTCATTTTTTAAAAGATATTCATGTGTTGTAATCCTGGATATCTTGGATTTGTTCTTTTGAACAAAATTTACGGTTCGTTTTGTTACGATGAAATGAATATATGATAAATATAATGGAATTGAAATTCCATGAGAGAAGAATGAATGGCCTGGGGGCACAACCTGAGTTACTAGCAATCACAACCACACTAAGGGGTATATAGCTTAGTTGATCAATACAGGTGCAAAAAGAGTAATGTAAAGGTTTAAATCTCGGCAAGAATGATGAAAGATAACAATGCGCAGCATGATGTTCTTTCATGTACTTGTGACAGATTTCACTTAATTAAAGCTCGATTTATCTCATTATAATGTTTTATCTGTGCCCATCCGAGGATCCAGAATGAGATTCAACCTTCATCTGTCACAACCTTACTCACATGGGGTGTGGGTCCTGTGTGCGGAACCCACACTTCGTGTAAGTGAGAATGTGAAATGCCACACGGCTTATTTTCATCGGTCAGGTTCAATGGCCTCAAAATGAGTGACCAAAGGACCGATTTAATTAGGACACTTACGGTGTTCCGTTTGTAAAATTGATAGTTCTTATCTTCTAATTCTTTCGGCAAATCCCCCACACGTTCCCGACCCCAACCCATTCACCCACCCATGAAATCAATTGGTAAGTTTAGTTGACTTTAGAGTCAAAATTTTTGACCGCAAAGTCAACTCAAAATTTTCATTGCTGTCCTAGTGCCACATCATATTTTCTTGAGGTGTTGGCCTACAGATGAGATTACATTACTGACATCTAGTAGGGTCATTATTTTCCACCCACAAATATATATACACAACGCTCCACGTTTAGAGAATGAAATATGTGTGTACTTTAAATTATTAAGAAACAAAAATACAGTACTCACACTAATACTGTAATATTTAATACACTAATCAATTAATCACCAGTTGAAACTATTTGACTCAAAGGTGACGTTATTGAGAAGGCCAGAAGAACAAATGGCGGCAACATCGTGCCTCAGAGTCTTTGGTCCGGAGGCAAGCACTCCCACACTCGACCCTTTTATTTCCGTTATAATTCCTGCATGCATTTTATTTATATATACATACCCAATTAATATAAACAATTTAAGACCCAAAAGAAATCAGTCAAATCACCTTCACATTTTACTCAAGTACAAGAGAAATATGTGAAGTTTATTTTAAGACGAAAGAAAAAACAAAATGTCAAATTTGCTTTGAGACAATGGGAGTATTATAGACATGCACTTGTATGTATGCATGTACGGAGTAAGATTGTACGTTTGCGTGCATGCATACATACGATGAAATGAAAAAAAAATGATGAGTGCATATATATATATATATATATAATCTCTTCGTTCAAAAAAGAATTTGTCAACTTGACAATGTTTGGTTAAAATCATTTTCAATTCAATTTATGTAAATTGGTGTAGTAATAAAATTTAAATTTTGCATTCTCTCCATCCAGAAAAGAATTACATTTCACTATTTAAAAGTTAGGAAAACTTTTGTTTATTTGTCTATTTTGATTGATTATTTGATAAAATAAAATCTTCTTGTTACCTCTTGTTTTGTAGATTTTTTTGACGTAACTTTTAAGCATGTAAGTCTTATTTTTAATTTCTAAACTAATCTTTAAATAAAATGAATTTTTAAAAACTTGAAATTTTGTTTTGCGTAAAGTATAAAACATTTTGGGATGGAGGGAGTACATTTTTATTAGCAAATAAATGTGATATAGTTTGACTGTATGAATAGTAACTGTAGAGATTTTTTCGAGACGTACTCTTGAGGTCAGGTCTTGTGCAGTAATGAGTGTTAATCATCTTGTTGAGAGATTGAGCAGGGAAGCTTTCCAGTTCTTGATGATCGTCATGGCCAGAGCCTAAAGATGAGGAATCTCCAGTTTCTAGAATCTTCTTATTAGCCTCCATAGCCATCTTCTTCTTGTTCCACAAGAAAGCTGCACTGGCTGAGACACCAATGCCAAAGCACATGAACAACAAGTTCAGCAATGCCCTTGTGTGGTATGGGAAAACCAGGTTGGTCCCATGGTCCATTGGGTACACGTAGTACTGGTAAAGTACTCCGACAAGGAGAAGGTAGACGAGGAACGAAGCCGAGATGATCGCCGCTAGCCAGAGCCACCCGTGTGGGCCCAAGACGGGCGATATTGGCGTGTCTGAGGCTCTAGGTTTGAACCGAACCGTCCGAACCGGTTTGGGTTTTTGCGGGGTTGTTGGCTTGGTTTCTCTAGTTATGTAGGCCTCAATTTGGATGTCAAGATGGTTGGGAATGGTTGGAGGAGTTGTGGTTGAGAGGGGGAGGAGAAGGTCCAATGTGGAGAGATGTGATGAGCTTTTGAAGATGGCTATGAGTACAAGTTTGGGGGTTTTTTGGTTTTGGGATGAGGATATAATGACTTCTTTGATGATGGATATGAAAGGGGTTATCCCACTTCCTCCACTTATCATCACTAACACATCATGCCTGCATTCATAAGACACAGAAGCGAAAAAAACAGCGAAAAAAACGTAGTAAAATCTCACCAAAAGCAGAGTTCGAAGAAAATATCTTTACAGAGTTCAAGAGATTATGAACTCAACTTGACTAGTAAGAGATGTAAAGTAAATAGAATTGAGATCTGGAATTGGAACCGCAAATTCTAGTTCTAAAAGTATAAGAACCGGAACCGCATCTTCCAGTTTTCAATTTCAAATATATATCCAATTTATGAGTTCAAGTTCCAACTTTGGTAGGGTTCCAAACCGGAATCGTGGTCACCCATAGTGGTACACAAACAAACAAGGGAAAGTGATGTAAATATAGAGAAGATTTGAAGAGAAAAGTAACCTTAGAAAATCAGTTTGTGCAGGTCCATATGGTCCTTCAACTGAGACTTGAAGGGAGTCAAGTGGTGAAGGAGAAGACATAAGATCAAAAAGCTTCTTGGTCCAACTTCCTTCACATTTGACAATGGCACTCATTGTGTCCTCTTCCATATTACAATTGGATGTGATGGTAAAAGGATGCCATTGCAACTTTGACATGGTGGGCACATTTATGAACATGATGCTTGTGGGATTATATTTCAAACCTAATAATAATAATGCCACAATCAAGAATTAAGATTTGGGTTGTGTGTCACTCAATACATTAGACTATATGATGATTGGTTAGAGCATCTCAAGTAGAAAATTTAATCGTTTAGCTAGTTCAACTCATGAATATCACAACAAAAGTTTTCTTTATTGTTTAACTAGTTCAACTCATCAAGAGTGTCGTCACTCCAAATAAAATTCTTACAAGTGTACAACCATATGATTTCGAATATAAGTGGTTCGCCGCTCACGAATGGGCTCAACTTCTCGAAACAGAAGTTCAAAATGCAACGACAACACTAATTATAGGATCATGCCCTTAGTACTAAAAACATATTTAACTCAGCCTACAGAGAACATCTACACAAATTTAAAGATGAATTGAATTGAAAATAAATTCAGTCATATTGGTGATTTTATGTCATCGCCTATTTTTTGTAATTCAATTTTCTTAGATCATATGAGAATTTTAATAGGCCTTCTTAATGAGTTGGATGCTCGTTCAACTATATTCGAAATTTCGTAGTGGGCGGCAGCCCATGGAGGGGCCTAAGGTGCATGGGGTTGATCGAGGTGCCAGGTGAGCTAGGAAAAATTATATTTTGGACCTAGTTACTTTATGAAAATGGAGTTCAAAGTTATGTACATTCGAATGTATAAGAGTATACATTTGAATGTGTAATTTATCTTCAACATTCCTTACTAAACGGTGAGATACATTCAAATGGTTACTCTTAAATGTTCGAATTTTTCGTGATAAGATGCGATGGTTCGCGCAGAAAATTGTTGAAATGCAATGATTATTGTTCTGGACAAACATTCGAATGTCCTGCGTAAAGTTGTGATATTTCATCAATAGACGGGTCTGATCAATTTGTGCTCTATACATATCTAGTCTCAGGATATGTTTGAGATACGGCATAACTTGCATCCATACTCATTCTATTTATATATTAACGTCTTATTCGATTAAAGTATTTTGGTATATACCCCGAAATAACTTTGATGTGAAAGCAATCACACGGTTTAGTCTATAAAGTTTCTTCAAGTTCGTTTGTATACTGTTCCTTGTACTACGCAGTACGCAGCGTTATCAACCTCCCATTTTTCCAACAAGTCAATTCAATCATCGTAAATCAAACGAGGTTAGTAGTATGCGTACCGGGGGTCTTGGAGAAGTTGAGCTCAAAAGTTTGGCATGGAAGGAGACGGGCGGAGAGGAGGCAAACGTTTTGCCTGGACTGTAAAAACCTGAGGTACCGGTCGACGAGGAAGAGGTAAAAACCAGGGAGCATGATGCAGGCGTAGAAGAAGCCGGTGTGGAGGGTGAAGAAAAGGATGAACCCAATGTAGAGGTAGTGGGTGTAGAAGAAGAGCTCAAACATCTTTCGCCTTATTGGGGTATATGTTGTTGCCCACATTATTAATCCCATCACCAGTGATATCTCTCCCGCCACATTTGAAATGTAGTGTGGGTCCCATTTCACCATCTGAATCACGCACATCACAATCAAATAAATGAATAAATAGATATAGAGTAAATGACAATTATAGTTTAGAGAATCTAGCATGTTTAACATCATGTGTTATACAAATTAAACAAGTTTTATTTGAGATGCATAGTTAATTATTATCCGATAAACATGCAATGAATCTGATCTGGTTAAAATATTAAATATCCCATGTCTTACTTTTATTTTTGAGATTTGTTATTTAATACTCCCTCCGTCCCGAAAATAAATTCTCATTCTACGCTTTTTTCGTTCGAAAATAAACTTCTCATTATACGTTTTCATACTCATTCTTCCAAAAATACCCTTCCCACTCGCTCATATTCCTCTTCTCCTGGCTCTCTTTATCCCTCACCAGCCACTCTTTTTCTTTCTTATCTATCTTCTCATTCTTCTGTCTCTCTCCCCCACCCGATCCCCTTCTTCTTCTTCTCACATTCTTCTTCTTCTTCTCTAACAGAATCCACCTTCTTTTCTATCCCTCCTCTTTCCCCCAAATTGGCTCCTACTCTTTTTTTCCTTCTTTTCCCCCCTTCATTCCCCTGCTTGTCTTCTCAGATCTGCACAGATTTGCGGCAAATCTATGCAGATCTATGCTTTTAATATCATCATCATTTTCTTCTTCGTCTCCTCTTTCTCTCCCTTCTTTATCTCTTTTTCCCAAGTATGACGATGGTGGCAGTTTGGGCCAGTGGTAGGGTGGGCGATGACGGTGGAGTTGGAGTGATGGTGACGGGGTTGCCGGCGATGGTGTCGGCGGTGGCGATGGTAGCGGGGGTTAGCGGTGATGGTGGGGTTGGATTGATTGTGGTGGGGTCTAACAAAGATGGTGGGCCGACGGTGATGATAGGTTGGGTGAGGCGGTGGGGCTGGTGGTAGTGGGAGTTGGGGCGGCGATGGTGTTGGCGGTGGCAAGTCCAATCAGAAATTGGAGTTGGGGCAGTTACATGCCTTCAAGTTAGGGATTGGTACCAAGGGCATTTTGGACAAATTATGCTTAGAGTCAATACTTATTAAAAATGAGAAAAAGTCAAACCGGGAACTTTTTTTCCGTACGGAGGTGTATTAAATTTGGCAGTAAGACATCTGCATTAAATCACATTAAAAGATGATTAACCAATTCAAATCAAGAGCTTATAAACATATTACTCCCTCCGTCTAAGATTAAAGTTCCCGGTTTGACCGGGCACGCACTTTAAGAAAGTGTAAAAATTTCCTTGACTTTCCAAATTTGCCCTTCTTTAAATTAAAATAAAGTGATAAGAATTTCCTTGACTTTCCAAATTTTCCAACAAGTACACAAGGTTACACGGCATTCCAAATGCCAAATTTTGTCAAAAATTCAAAGTCACCCCCCCCCCCAAACAAAAAATTTCAGAGCTTGGGGCCATCAAAGCTGCAGATGGTTCGTCTTCTTCCTCGGAATCAGGCACCACGGCTGCCACAATCTCACCTTCATCGCCATGGCAATTTGGGAAAAGTTGCTCGATCTCCTGATTCCCATCACTGGCGCAGACGATTGGAGTGTCTGTTGAAATAATAGACTTGGGTCCAATTCAACCCCAAAAGTTAACTCAAGAGATTGAGGTATCCAAGCTATTAAATAGCAGCACAATATAAGGCTGCATTACCGATGTGGGATGAACAAGTCAACACGCCCCTCACACGAGGCGCAGATTACTGCGGGCGCGGTCTCAACATCAATGGCTTAGCTCTGATACCATGTTAAAACAATAGACTTAGGCCCAATTCAACCCCAAAAGTTAACTCAAGAGGTTGAGGTACCCAAGCTATTAAATAGCAGCACAATATAAGGCTGCATAGCCGATGTGGGATGAATAAGTCAACACGCCCCCCTCACACGAGGCGCAGATTATTGCGGCCGTGGTCCCAACATCAATGGCTTGGCTCTGATACCATGTTGAAATAATAGACTTGGACCCAATTCAACCCCAAAAGTTAACTCAAGAGGTTGAGGTACCCAAGCTATTAAATAGCAGCACAATATAAAGCTGCATTGCCGATGTGGGATGAACAAGTCAACACTGAGACTACAAAAACAAGAGGATAATCTTCAGACTCCATACGAATTGGGTACAGGAGAGAGCAACTTAAGAGTTGGGAGGACGAAGATCAGAGATCCAAGATATGGATCTAAGAGAATGAACGAGAGAAAAATGAATGAGCTGGTTGGAGGAGAAAACGAGGTGTTGAAGAGAGGAGATAACGAGGAGATAGAATAATGAGTGGATGTGAGTGGGTGGGGTTTAATGTGAGGGGTTGAATTAATTAAGGTGGGTAGTGGGGTATGTGATGTGAGTGAAAGTGAGAGGGGTATAAAAGACTTTTTACTTTAAATTTATTGCCTAAAATAGAAATGAGAACATTAATTATGGATATCCCAAAAAGGAAAATGGGAACTTTATTGTTGGACGAAGGGAGTATATTCTTTTCAATTTTCTGATGTGCAATGAGGCCTAACAAATTTTTCAATTTAATTGTAAAATATCAAAATGGACAAACATACTTATTGCCAAACCGGATATTTAACCGGTCTGGATTTAAAACGATTAGCGAAACCCGGTCTTTGTATAATTGACATAAATCAAATCATTTTGACACTCCTATGGGAACATGGCGCCTTATTCTGACATTAGCTTGATTAGATTGGAGATTTGAATATTGATGGGCATTTAAGTGACTTAACCAAAGTTTTGACTAATTGAGGAGTGGAAAATAGTTGGTGGAATAGTTTTCACTCTCGGACCCCACAATAAAGGTTCTCTTCATCATCTCATTAATAGCGCATTATATATAAATAATCAAATAAAGGTCCTTAATAATCAATTTAAAGGTCTTATTTACTTCCCCAATCTCGTAATCACTCTGTCTGGAATCGTTTTTTCCACTTTTCTTTTTGGCTCGTCCAAAAATATTTTTTACAGTTCCTTTTTAGTATATTTTTTAACAATAAATTTTAATAATGCCCTGGTATTTTATCACTAATCCACTTTTTTATTATTATTTTAATAAGAAAAGAGATTTAAAAGTTTATAAAATATGCATTTTTGGTAATTTGGCATTCTTTGACTACTCCTTAATAAACGTGCATGGACAATACGGGAAGAACATTTCCAGATGGAAGGAGTACCTTTCTTTCACTTTTAAATTCTGTAACTAACTTTTTAATATTTTCACTACAAATAAAAAAATATTGAATTGTAATATTTTGTATACATTTAGTATTGCTATATTTAGTTTGAAATATCTTATTTTGTAATATATGTTTATATAAAAATAAATATTTTTTGGGTTAAGACTAAAAATAAATATACATCAAGGTTTAAGACTAAAGTTTGACACAATGTGTTTCATATACATAGATAATAATTGTGTAAACAATCAAGATAATGACTATATGTGCATATGAGAAACAATCCAAATAATATTTGGATCGAATGATTGGTTATGAAATAGTTTAAAATTTATTTAACCACGAATATAGTTTCTCGAAATTGGGAACTATATGTATGGAAAATACCATGTTAAAAGGGGTCATTTATATATTTTACTCTTTGGATTATCCTTTAATAGTGTAGATTGTTTTTTTGACAATAATAATGCATTTTAACTTTGAAAATATTAATTAAAAAATTTCGTTAAATTACATTTTCAAAATGCTAAAGCTAAACACGAAATTGTTGCCAAAGTAACACTATATTAAAGTCACTCTTCGATTTCAAAGAGTTCAAGAAAACTCTTTAAAAAAATAGTCAAAATTTGTTTTAAAATGAAAAAATGTGAACCATGCCTTTATTTTTCTTAAAAAACATGAAAAACATGACATTAAATTTGGAACGTCGAAAACTAAAAGATTTAGGAACGGACGGAATATGAAATTTAGATTGATATGACATCTTGTACACCTACGGATTTACCTCATGTAAACGGTGAGAGACGGCCCAAAAGAGAATATAGAGAACGCCATGGGCCGTAAAGAGGATCATGGCCGCATGGCCCAACCAGATATGATACTTGATGCTGCCTTCAGAAGTCAGGCCCAACATTGGGAGGATGGACGACCTTCGGGTCACCGGATAAAACAGAAACGTTAAGCAAATGTTTCCGGTCAAACCTGCCACTAGTGCCACTCTGTCTATCTTTGCTTGCCACCTGCAACAACACATTTTTTTTTTAATTTTCACTATCACTAAGTTATTGAAAGGAGCTCTGAGGAGGTGTGGAATACACACTCGTTTTCTACATTAAAAAAAATTAGTGGGGCATGGGTGTAGCAACCCTCGGTGGCGGGGTCAAAGGGGCAGGCCCCTTGGTGAACCCGTGGGTACGGTTACATGTCAGCTCGGAATTTTTTTTATTTTAGTCATTTTGTCTTATAGAAAGTTCGTACTCCATCCGTTCTGGAAAAGAGTTCCAGTTTTGACCAAGTGGTAAAATAAGAAAGTGTTAAGTTGTAGTTGACTTCCAATTTTACCTTTGATGTGATGGATATGTTATTAGAGAAAAAGTATGGCATGATAGGTAGGGTAAGAAAAAATAGGAGTTAAAGGAGTTTTTTAATAGAAAGTAGAAGTATTTTGTTGAAAGTGAAAAAAAATAAAAGATGAAGTGTTTTTGAGAATGGAGGGAGTATGATTTTCATAAGGTTTTGGTTTTCAAAATTTGTCGGCATGGTATCGGTTCTAAGTTCAAGTTCCAATTCAGCTCTAAAGTATACTTTTTATGTCTGGAACTCTGGATTTAATCTTTTCGTTTATCTTTTTCTTCGTTCGAACTTAATCTTCTCATTTCTCATATACATGTGCGCGCTTAGACAAGAATACCCTCCCCTCCATTACAAATGTCCAAGAAGTCACCTACTTCCACTTTTTTTTTAGGAAATGCATGTTGGACATTTGGACAAACCCACCACCCCATAGTCGGTCTCCCTTGAAAATAAAAATACGTCGAGAAAATAAGAAGATTAAATCCGAACGGGGTTTAACGGTAACGGTGTGACGAAAAGATCGATAGCTTACATTGGGACGGCTTTGGCGGCAGCATAGACGGAGATGGAAGTGTAGTGGTAATGAACGTAGGCTGCGAAGTACCAAACACACAAAACCACAAACATGGCTGCGAAGAAAAGCTCAGTCCACGTCACTATCCCAAGTGGCTTTATAATGTTTGGCTTCCTCAATGCCTTCAACCAATCATTCCTGCAATTCATTTAATTTATTCCTTTGTCTTTATCAATTTCTAGACTAAAATGAGTTTTTTTTTTGTATAAAACAAGAAATTAGAAAACAAAGATAATAGGAATTGACTACAAACTAGACATATAATGAAACTACCTTTGACATACATCACTTTTAGCATTTTGAAAATGCTACTCCGTACCAAATAGTAGATTTTAGCATTTTTACGTTCTTAAAATTAATAAGTACCGTACCCTTAAGTAATTATCCAAAATGCTAGCGTTGTTCAAAAGCATTATTCCCAAATGAAGCCAAATTAAACATATATTGTATTGGTTTTTGTAAGATGAGAAAATGGCAAGGAAATTCAAAAAAATACATTTATGTTCACAATATTCAATTAATATGATATTTCATTCTCAAAGACCCTGTGATTGGACGACATAATTGTAAATCTCCCAAATAATAAATTAGATGTTCAAAATCATGTACGGACATAGACAAATACTTCGTATTATACAATAATAATTAATAAAGCTAATTATATTAAAAATACACTATAATAAATTACTTATGTTTGTTGATTTTTTTGATACATTGAAAAGTAATATAGAAACACTTCATACTTTTTATACTTACGGGTGTATAGCAAAGGTACTTTCTCTATTTCATATTAACTGACTATTATGACTTTTTTTGTACAAATGAAATAAATATAAAAATATATTTTATGTCGAAATTTATTTATATTTTGATGTATTAAAAAATCATAATAGTCACTTATAATACTAAAATGTGAAATGGTAGAACTACCTTACAATTAATGGTTTGCTTAACATGTGTTTGATACTCCCTATACATTAACTCCACTTTGACAAATTGAATAAGAATTAGTTGACTTTCTTATACAGAGTAAATAATAGTTGACTTTGACTGTTAATAAGTGAAAGTCATATCAAGTTATAAAATTATACTCCCTCCGTCCCGTGAAATATGGGACATTTGCTTTTTAGAAGGGATTTAAGAGAGTGTATTTTGGTATTGAATTTCCAAAAATGTCCTTTGATGTGATGGGTAAAAGTATGATTTGATGGATAGATTATTAGTAAAAAGGTATGATGTGATAGTTAGAGCATGAAAAAGTAAGGAATAAAAGTGACTTTTTAATAGAAATGAGAAGTGTTTTGTGAGACGGATAAAAAAAGAAAGGGGAAAGGTTTCACGGGATGGAGGGAGTAAAAAATACGCTATGAAACATTATTTTAAATCTAGGGATATATATAAATGCATTAATTCTCCTTGTCCCAATTTATATGACATACGGAGTATATGTTACTTTTAATACCCCCAATATTTAAATTCTACGTATATAACTTTTATGTTTTTATTTTTCAATACATTTAAATTAAATTGAATTTTGTGAAAAATATTGAATCAAAATAACATTATTAAAAAATAATAAATTGAAATGAACGTAGTAAAACGTATATACAGAAAAAAAAAGGAACATACCTTTGTAGGTTAATATTTGGTTTGGTTGCTCCCTTTCCGAGATGGATATAAAAGCATCCAATAACAGCAATGAACAAGATTGGGAATGTGAAGTTGAGCATTATTGGACCTTTTGAATCATCAAATAATTAAATAAATAATTTTACTTTCATAATATATACATCTATATAACAAAATTACAGGAAAAACAATTACTCCCTCCGTCTAAATTAAAAAACAGTCTCACTTCGAACAGTTTGTAAAATTTATCTCTTATAAAATTATTTTATTTATAAAAATTTATTGAAATAAAAAATACTACAAATTACATATTACAAATATACATCAAAATTTCTAACAAAACAATACGTGACAAAAATAGTTTATTTTATGAAATAATCAATGAAAATGCAAAAATAAACAAAAGCTATCGAATCGAGAGTCCATTCCATAAAACGTAACCCTTCATCTTTTATTTTTTCCAATTCCCTAAAACAGTTCCATTTTCTATTAAAAAATCACGTTTACCCATACTTTTTTCATACCCTATCTATCACACCATACTTTTTCACTAATAACCAAACTATCATATTTTACTTTTACCCATCACATCAAGGGCAAAATTGAAAACTCAACCAAAAATACATTTTCCTTATTTTGGCGCAAAGTCAAAATGAGAATGGTTTAATGGAACGGAGTCTAATTTCATTTTTAATATGGAGTAATGCAAGGGAAATAAATGTAGTGTAGTGTTTGGCATATGTTCCAAAAATTTTCCCAACCTTTTTTAGGAAAAAATACCAACTCTTCCATCTTTTCTTCTAAAATATCTTACTACTCTCCCTATCCCAAAAATAAACTTTACATTCATTAATTATTTAAAAGATCAAATTTTATTTATTTAATTATTTTAAGTACTCTTGGAATAATATAATTATGCCAACCTTACAAGTATTACGGAGTACCTTTTTTTATAAATACTTTCAAAACAATATTTAAATAAATAAAAAAATAATTTTGACCAAATATTATGAGTAATAATACTAAACTAAAGTATATTAGGGGCAGAGAGAGTTTATTTTTTAATTTTCAAATAAATAAATAAATACCTCGTGTGTATAGTAGTATCATTACAAAAAAATCTGTTTATCATTATTTTTGACATCAGAACACAATAAAAAATCAAAAACTTTTCTTCAATAATTGTTTATTCTATAAAAAAACAAGAACTTGCTAGAGTTACAAAGAGCTAAACCAAAGGGGTGAATTAATTAAATTAAATATAATGCAATTATACATTTTACCTTGAATGCCAAAGAAAGTGGATTGAGTATGAGCAAGAATATGGGGGAGCCATTTGAGGTAGTAGGTGAAGGTTGGCATGATGGCCCACATCATCATATTCCCAAGAAACACTACAAATGCTAATCCCAAAATTGCCCCTCGCACATAATATGATGAGAGAGAACTCTTCTTCTTCTCTTCTCCCATGGCCATGCCCTTCTCTCTCTCTCTCTCTTGTGGTTTGGGTGATGAAGCTAAGAAAGTGGTATGTATATATGAGTTGAGATATTTGAATTTGTAAAACCAGGTTTTGATTATAATAAGTTCAATATAAATGTGATAGGTGAGGTGAGTTTGACAAAAGTGGAGAATATGATCATTACCTGCCGTAATGGACCACTCACCTTTTAGATAGCTAAATGCCACTTGCTTCTTTCATTATTGTTTCATTGCATATATTTTTGGGATATGCTAGGGGTACACCATTTGGTCTACTCCAAGTGTACACCACCCTCTTTTTAACCATTCATTTTATTTTGTTTTTATTTTTTATTTTTTTTGAATTTTTCTTGCCTTTTTTGTGTAGTGATAGAAGAGGTGGGGGATATTTGGGGTACACTTTTGGTGTACTCCTACTATTTTCCTATATTTTTGCATGGCCCTCATTACTCCCTCCCTCCCCTCACACTGGCTAAAGAGTGAACGCTATACATGTACTTGTCACCTTTTTTTTTTGAATTAAGCTAGGGGTACACTAACATGGGGTACCCCAAATGTACACCAAGCCAATACAGACATACACAGACACAAAGTGTCTGTGTTGCACAGATATTTTGTGTCTGTGTGTGTCTGTGTTGGTTTGGTGTGCACTTGGGGTACCCCTTCTTGGTGTACCCCTAGCATTGCCCTTTTTTTCTCTAAAGCATGCTATATGTATTCCAAAATTTATACCCCATTTGTACATCAATGATATATATGGACTAACATTTTGATAGTTCACACATACACAAAGTGTTGATGCGTTAATAAAAATTTACACTAATATAAAGTGTTGGTGCGTTAACAAAAATTAGTATTACACCAATACAAAATGTTAGTTCATCCATTCAGTGTACAAAATAAGTTACAAATTCTTGGGGTACATATAGCTTTACCCTTTAATTTTCTCTCACTTACAAGTTACAACTCTCACATATTTATTGAAAAGAATCATACTATTAGAGAAAAGACATGTGGCATCGGTTTTTTTTATCTTTTGCATCGATTCCTAACCGGTAAAAAAAGGAGCGATGCAATTTGTACAAAAGGGTGTTTACGCACACATAATAGGCACCGGCAAGGTCTTTTGCATCAAGGTATTCCTAGACATTTAGAGCCTGTTCTTTAAGGCTTAAACTCTAAGAACGATATATTTTTAATGTGATCTTAACTTCCAGTTTTTCCAGTTCTTTCCAGTTTCTTCCAGTTCCTTCCAGTTCTTCAAGTTTCTTCCAGTTCCTTCTAACCAATTACTCTAAGAAAGATATATTTTTAATGTGATTATTATTATTATTATTATAACTGTTATATTCATAACTATAGTTTATAAATTATTTTTTCTCATCTCACTATTTTTACATTTCACACTCATTATTTTTTCTTCAACTTTTTAATATGAATAAGACAATTTTTTGTATATTAATCTACATGATAAAATAGGAAAACATCAATATTTTAAACTATATTAAAAAATTATGGATAAAATAGTTACATAAAATGTTTTATTAATCTAACTTTATATAAGACCTCTTACCTTTCCCCTTATTACTCAAAATTTTCTCATTTTTCTAATTTTTATAAAAAAATTGAAAGTCAAATAGTGTAGAGAAAAAGACTAAAATAGGAGTAAAACATATAAAATATAAAAAAAATTCTATGTCTTTATTCCAAAAATAGGACTCACAATGAAAATAAAATGTCAATCATGAAAGAAAAAATAGGCTAGGGTTGATTACATTATGTGACATGTCTGATATTTAAAACAAAATCTTGTAATATATAAAATATAATTACAAATATATTATTTATAATAAATGCTGCATAAATAAATTAAAGTGCAACGTAACCATAAAAAAATTAAAACTTAAGATTTTGATATTTATGCTAACTTTATATTATAATTATTTTTTTGTAAAAGTAGTTTTTTGTATTTGAAAAATAACAATACTTTTTTTATTATCTTAAAAGCATTCATTAAGATAACGTGATAATGATGATGATGATGATGATGATAATAATATCATAATAATAATAATAATAGTAATTTATAACAACAAAAACTAGAATTAGAATAATATACTAATACACTAAAATAAATTTTTTTAAAGTTTTTTAAGGTTTTTCAAATTTTTTGAAGTTTTTCTTGTTTCTTCTAGTTCCTTCCAGTTTTTTTTAATTAGTTTCTTCTAGTTCCTTCCCATATCTAGCTCTTTTTTTCCATTTATTCCTAAAGCACAGGCTCTTAGTGCCAAAATGGGAAAGGTCTTTTGCATCAGTTATTTCGAAATAACCGATGCAAAAGACGTTCCAAGAAATTTCGCACCAAAATGGGGAAGACCTTTTTGCATCGTAAAAGGCCTTCTCCATTTTGGCGCTAAATATTCAGAAATGACTTTTGCACGGTTATTGGTGAAGAACCAATGCAAAAAGGTTTTCTTTTTACAGAACAATACAAATTTTTTTAGTACAATATAGTATTGTTTTTACTAAGGCTAAAATTCACCATTAGTCCTTCAACTTTATTAGTTGTGCATGATTGGTCCTTCAAGTTTTAAAAGTTTATAAATAGTCCTTCAACTTTATGAGTTATGCACGATTGGTCCTTCAAGTTTTAAAAGTGCATAAAAAGTTCTTCAAATACACGTTAGCCCTCCATATGAAATCCTTTTGACAGTAAATATTAAAAGGTAAATGAAATACTAGTCTCATATAATACGAGTAGATTCCACTAGGTACGACTACTCCGTATTATATGGAGCTAGTATTTCATTTAGCTTTTAACATTTACTGGCGAAACGACCTAATCTGGAGGGCTGACATGTATTTGAAGGACTATTTATGCACTTTTAAAAACTTGAATGACTAATCGTGCATAACTCATAAAGTTGAATGACTATTTATGGACTTTTAAAACTTGAAGAACCAATCGTGCACAATAGATAAAGTTGAATGACCAATGGTGGAGTTTAGCCTTTTTACTAAACAACAGGACACATATTTTACAAAATAGAGTAACTACAAGCGAAGTAAAGAATAAAGATGAAATATATCCACTTCAACTAATTAAACACATCCAATAAAGAATCAATACATTGCACATAGCTATAACTAAACATACACGCGCTTAGCTACAAACAAATACAAAAACAAAATTACTGCACTAATAAAATGACATACGATCAAACTTATAAACTAACTAACAGATGGTAGAGTCATACCCTGGACATCGACTTAAGCTAAATCATCAATAAATATAATACGTCGGCCTAGAACTTCCTAATCTCGTTAAGTTTGTCATATGTGTACAACACAATAAAGTCAAATACCTACAACAACAACAACACGAACGAGAGTAAAGCGTAAATTAAAAACTGCATGTATCATCCACAATAACCAGAGCACTTACAATAAATCTAAAATAATCATAAAGAAGAAGCTAAGAGATTATACTTTTATCATAAAACAAACATCTTAGTTACAAAAATATGCTAAAAAGAACTTACATGGGCTAACGGTATGGAAGTCTAGGCACACAGACTGACAATGAGCCACATGAATTGCATGTAGTATCCACACTCGGTCCCCGGGTTGTTATGGTACTCCGTGAACATCAACCCATACAAGTCTCACACTAAGATCAAGCATTTTCCTTTCCCTAAGTATGTGTCGAGCCCTTCAAAGTTAAAAAACTAACCACGCACTATGAAAAATAATTTGTGAGAAACGATGTATATATTCCTTCAATATTACCAATATAATTCCTATATACTTGCTCGTTTATGAAAGCCGGCCTTTAATTTCATACTCTTTGATCCCCCGGTCCCGATTATTGAGTTCAGGAAATACACTTTGTTTCTGAAAAACGTATTACAATTAACACCCAATAGTTCTTACAAGTGAGAATGAATTTCAGTAATTAATTTTGTAAGTTCGGAAGATACAACGATATAAGTATCCAAGATCGCGATTTGTACTCTTAAGAGGCTCTGCCAAAAGAGCTGCAATCTTCTAAACTAATCATGTACTGCATGTTCTTTTACATAATAACCCGACAGCAGGACAAGGTATGGAGTAGTCACTCGTACTAGGAAGCACCAAGGTTAGAGCAACTTTAACTTAGTGGGGAAGGAGGGAACACCATGCATGCATGCACGTCTCCCTGTGTAGGCGGAAATACCAACCTATGAAAATAAAAAATATCGTTAAATAATAAGCAATTTAAAACCTATATTATACTCTCATTTAAAAGCAAAGTTATCTATTACATTACCTTAGTAAGGTAGGTCGTCAAAGTGAACAACATGCATCTACGGACGCCTTGCTGCTACGCTTAGCTTCCCCTTATGATGAGGTCCTAAAGGGGGTGTATGCTGTGACATAGATGCTAGCTAGGTCTGTAGCGCTGTAGCGCTATCAGACATCGATACTCCCCATTTTTGCAAAAAGATAGGGAGGCATTGTAATGTCCTAAAAATAAATATAGTATTTTGTTTTATATCCATATAAAATAATACTTCCTCCGTCCGGATTATATGTTCCCAGTTTGACTTTTGGTCATTTTTAGTGAGTATTGACTAATGAGTTAGATTGCCCAAAATACCCCTGCCCCCACACCAAAATATCTCCGCAACCCTCAACACCACAACCACCCCAATCCCCATCCCCACTGCCCCAACCGTCGCCCAACCCCCACCACCGCCCCAACCGCCGCTGGAGCTTTCCGAGGAAACAGATCTGGAGGTGCAAATCGCCACCGCCGTCAGCTCCACTCGCCACCATCGCCACCGCCGACACCATCGCCAGAAACCCCGCACAAATGGATCTCTAAATTTTTAGATCTGAAAAAAAAACGAGATCCAACTCTGATCTAATATATATATATATATATATATATATATATATATATATATATATATATATATATATATATATATATATATATATAT